TGTAGTAATCTCACTTCAGAACATACCCAACCCATGCACCCATGCACTGAATGAATTCTTTGAAGATTTGAGCGATTGGTAAGATTGACCGGTTTCGGATGGTAAATTTCATGGATAAAACGTGTCACCCATGCGATCATTTTCGGGACCTCGACTCGGGTCAACCACGTATAGGTATGCAATCTCCCACTCTCGGTCAGTGTGATATAAATCAACTTTTTTTTGTTTACACGAGTCATTTCAAACACCCGCAAACATCATAAATTAGGCCTGGCAAAGCACAACACTTTATAAATAAATCGTTCAAACTTGTACAAGATGATACTTCTTTTATGCATGTTCACTGCTATTTAATGGTGATTTGAAGATGCAAAAGCTACCTAAAGCGTATGCTACATATTTAGGCTATTATCAATTTTACGTCCCGCCCTGAACTTTCATCAGGCTGTTGCCCATGTTGTGAGAATGCCACTGTCTCCAGCGTTCCATGAACCGATATGGGATCGACGTGATCGTGATAAAAAAAAAAAAACGGTGGGTTAGCGTCCCTTATGTCGGCTTACATGGTGTCAGGAGCCGACTCAACACCTCGAATATCTCCAAATAGCTTGTAGTCTGTTATTTGTGTACCGCGATTTGTGTGCACTGCATCCACACAAAACAAGAAAAATACTCCTTGCAGCAACCGGTTCATTCAACCTCCACCTGACCTATCGCGAGGTGAAATCTAGTAATTTAGAACAATAAGGACATGCCTACGTCAACCGCATGGTCAGCACGACCGGTCGATAATAGAGATCTTATTAACTTCCCGAAGTTAAAACGTAAGTAAATGAAGACCTCAAACTTTATCAACACATTTTTTTTTTTTGTCTACAATCATTTCGTTGTGGAAGAAAAATGCTTGCTTTATCTAACACATGATTCATGCTTTCTATGCCTATAATGGTTACTCCATGCTCCATATTCCTGTCCATCCGTACTCGTACATAGATACATAGTGCATGCACTTATGGAACGTGTATCTACTGGGCGATCTTTTAACTCGTTTAATACAATGTTCAGGCTGTCTGTATGCCTAATGATGCAATTTCCCATGGCAAGTCTGAACAAAAAAAGTGTCATGCATATTTTATCTTTCTTGTCGTTTCCATTGGCATTGTTTATCTCATTCAGGACAAAATAAAAGCAAAATAATCAACAATGAAGAATATAACTTTCTTCAATGAAGTCAATAAGTTTCAATGAAGTTAATTGCAATAAGAGTTCCGAGTTAATAATAGCCTTTTTTTCTCATAACTAAAGTAAGCCAAATACAAATGTACGCTAAAAAAACGTTTCAAGCCATTCAATTAACGAAGAAGCGCAACATCTATAGTTCCGTGCCTGCATTTACCTCATGCCTGATCTGATCCTCTACAGCAGTGTGGCATTTCAGGATAATTAAAGAAATTAAACTGTTGTGATATCCATAACATAGCCCACATCACGAACTCACAATATGTCTGCGAGATGTTATATGTACCAAGGGATATGCTTAGGTAGCAGTAGCACCGCATGAGTAGGAACAGCTTTTGGAGGCAGCTCTCTAGTCTCTCGTCTTTAATTGGGACCACAGTCGGGGCTTATCAGCAGCTCGGTCGATGTCTGATCAAGCGGTGACAACTTTATCGTCAGCCACGACAGACAGCATACCACGGACGGACAAAGCGAGCCTTTCCCAAGGCAGCAGCTACTAACGACGCGTGTAACACTCCACAGAACAGCCAACCCTGGAAATCGGCACGACTTCACCAGACAGTACCGACGCGATCCAGACGATAGTGTTATTTTTACCGTGCATACAGACGAACCTGGTGGGTGCAGGCGGTGCGATTAGGGATTGTCTGGGTCGCCGGGTAAAGTCGCCAGACTTGCAGCGTACCGAATGGCCTCGTATGGACGAAGCCGTGAGGTAGGCGGCCTCCGAAGCGACCGGTCACAGCGATCAGCCATTGGACTTCCCGCACTGAACAGACATGATTGGGGGTGACGGAGTGCTGCTTAAGAGCTGGCTGACACGACGGGGGATTTCACTTCGGTGTCACACAGATGTCCACGGCGCGTGGTTGGCTGTCTGAGCTTTTGATGAGCCGAAACTAGTGAGGAGTATGTCTGGGAGATACAGGTGTCAGGTGTTCGAGAAGTCAAAGTCAAAGGTTTTGTAACTTGCCTGGGTAGTTGCAATAATAGGTGACACGTTTAATACCTAAATGCAATTGGTGGTGGTTATGTGTAATATTTGATGGATAGAAATGTGTCAGGCACAGTGAACACCGAATACATTTTACTTTTAAATCCCACCCGCTTTCCAGGTGTTGTATATGTAGGTACTGGGTCTATTGGTTGCAATACAACCCTGGGAACTCCTGTGATATGTGCATAATGTAGAATTAAGTGCTCCGGTCCGTATAGCTATAGTTGCTAGACGGCGAGACATTTAGTCCAGCAGCGAACAATGAACATCCATGATCGCTGACTCACAGAGTGAATAAAGATGGGCAGACCAACAGTCTAACCGCACACACAGTGTAACGATTCCTCGCATTCCCGTGTATGAGGTCATGTATAACGGCCAGCCACCTGTGACCTGTGTACTTTATGGTGTCACCAGTATTCTGCCAGCTGGTGCTACGTAACGCCAATGTAGGCCGACTATGACACATACACTGACAATGCGCATGACACACATATGGGGAGGAGCAGTTCAGCCGTAAACCGGGGAGTACTTAAGACAGCAAAACTGTGATGTAGAAATGACAGAGACGGCGATAACAGACATTTAGGCCGCACTTATTCAGGTTTAGTTATAAGCTTTAGGTATATGCACAAAGTGCATTTGCATAGTGGCCTTTCCCACCTGACTATAACAACTTGTCTAAGTGATGTCATAACTCAAAATGCGACAGAAAGCGACTTTCCTGCAGACTCTTCTTACCGAAAAAGATATGCAAGCTTGCTAACATCTAACGGAACGCAGTGCTAAGCGACATACTGCGACAAATTATTGAATCTGTCTCGTAAGTTACGATTCAACGGGTGCAGACTGCAGATACCAGAGTCATCTGCATAAGGTGCACCGTAAACGGCGGATGCCAACTCGCAGTTACTATATTTCCATTTGAGATCAATACCGTTCTAAATATACCTAAGCATACCAACGCAACTTTTCAAACATGCTAATTAGTCGTCCATCAGAATCATGCAGCAAAGTATGCGAGTCCGGCGGCGCGGATAGTTCGCCATTCACTTACCAGTGGACTGACTCCTGGGTCCTCGGTCCTGTGCGGAACACATGAGGCAGCTTGAGCGAGACCAGTCCCACTTGATGAAACTCACACCGACGTCCTGGGAATAAAAAGGCAGGCGTGTTATCAATGCGAGTCATATTTCATCTGTATCATTTTAACACTCTGATTTTGAACTCATATTGATTATTGACGTCTGAACATAACTACCTACCTACCGATTACTCATTAAAGCGTAAAAACGGTGCTAGGTACGATTACCTATCCTCAAATTCGGTAACAATTTTTGATTTAGGTATTTATTTCATCATCGATTTTATTTGTAAACGGTTAGATTTTATTTCTACTGTAATAACGAGTAGCATACAACACCACACACTCACCATTTCGATTTTTCTATCGCGAGCTCATCAATAACACCGCAATCAGCCAATGGCGCTGACGGAGTTCTGCTGTAGATAGGGCCTTGTGCTGAAGGCTGTAGCCTCGGGCGGCTCAGCGTGGGTGTCGGCCCGGCCGGTTCCACCCAACTCGACCGGCCGCCGAAACGGCGCGGTACTGCTCCGCGCACTGTTTCAATTTGTGGAAAAAAAGAGGCGTGTATTCTTCACTGTGTTGTTTCATAAGTCAAATGGCCATTCAATTTCTCGTATTAAAATATAAAAAAACATGCCAGACACTGCTTCCATTTGATCGGTACTATTTCTATGTGAACGGAGATGTCTAGACAGGTGACCCGTCTGACATCAAGTTGGGTCGGCGGCCGGCGCGCGGCGTTGCAAAGAAGGAAATGTCAAGAGGGAAGGTCACGGGTTATGACACAGAAGCGTCAACTAAAGACGAGGAAAAATTGGGAGTGAGGATATACATACACCCATTACTCTCTCTTTGACGTGACCTGTTACAGAAAGGGTGACATCGAGTTACAATAAATTCGGTTTAGTTAGTGAACACAATCAGTGCTTATAGCGGACGATCAGCACGTCAGCACATTGACCGATATCCCCACGTGTGCCAATCTCTGACTACACGGGTTTGCACTATGCATGAACTCCAGTCACACATACCCGTGAATTGATTGAGCAGGCGGTGTCATTCGCGACCGGCCGGTAGCTCGCCATGGAAAACCCCTCGTGAGAAGCGCTCGAACGAACTGCGTCAGTGTCATCTCGTTCAAAGAAGCTCTCTACACCATAGCTTCACTCACTGTAAGGGGCCCCTGATCGGCCGGCTTTGTCATCGGTGCAAGCTATGAGGAAGGGTAGCCTCGGCAGATCACACGATATACACCAACTCGGGGACGACCCCTGCGGTTTGGCGGTAACCCTCAGAACAGCTCCGATCAATAGCGATGTGGTGCCCAACCGTGCTGGTCGTGACGTCAATAAGACTAATTAGACGTCAGTTTTTACGTGACCACGTATATTGTCTCACGGGGCCGTTATGCTTAGTGGTTATCTTCCACAACTGACCGAAGACGGGTTCAGAGTTGGGTACGTCAATCTTGCATCAGCCGTACCACGTCTACTCAAGGCCTAGTTCCTTGTGCCGTTACATTGCACTAATGCCGTTCGCAGTTCTGTAGACATGAGTAATGACCAGTGCAGTAAGCATGCGTATTAGTGTGCACTGCAAGTCAGTGTAATCTTTAGTCAGTCATCGATTCCACCAGTGATCAATATCTGATCCCGACGTTTCTCACACTCAGAGGCGTTTGTTTTGTTTCTTTATTGTGATATCCATACCTTTATAAACAGCTGGCCGGCGCCGGCCGGCCGGGCCCAATTTCCGCAGCTCTGTCCGGGGCGCCGGGCCGGCGGCCCGACTCCGGCAGCTCTGCACGGCGCCTCGGGCCGCGGCCGGCCGGCCGACCTCACACCAGACTGCGCCGGGCTCCACCTCTACCGGCCAGGACTGTTCGGTCGGTCAGTGCCGCCCGCTACCAATAAAATAACCACGGAGACGGGCGGCTAGCCACCCGCCCGCCACTGCTGCCCAGAACGATAGCGCCGCCCGGCCGCGGCGCGCGCACTATGGAAAATGCCATCACAGAGCACGTGCACGCCGGCCACGGCCAGTCCGTGCTGCAATGGCGCGCGCTCGCGTCCGCTGTACACATGAAAGACAAAACCAACGAAAAGTAAAACACCGGGAAAACGACTAGCAATGTAAATAACGAAGCCGCCGCGCACGGCAGCGCCGCGCCGACTGTCCGGTCGCGGCGGGGCGCACACTACCTCGTGTAATATCTCTCTACCGAGGCTATCGCTAGCAACACACGCCCGGCGCCCGGGACGATAACACGGCCGACCGCGGCGGCCGGCCCACAGAGACAGAGAGCGAGAGCGGTGAGTGAGGGTGCGGCGCGCGCGCGCCGGCCGCCCTCTGGCAGTGCGAGCGTCTCGGCGGTGCCGGCCGCGAGTCTGTGAGCGTCCCCGGCGTCCTCACACGTCCCTAGCACCGCTACCGGAGCGCTCTGTCCGCTCCGACACTGGACCGGGCGTCCGCCGGCCGGCGGCGAGCTGCCGGCTCAGACTCCTCCGTCACACACACACACGAGTAGTTCGTTCACATGTTGTAGGCGACATAGATGGGGTCGAGCTGATCCTGCAGGAAGCCGTCGCGCAGGTGCATGCGCTGCTTCTCTCCGCGCGAGTTGATGGGCACGACGCCGGGGTCGACGACCACCACGACGCCGACGATGAGGTGGTGATCCTCGAGGACAGCGTTGGTGATGAGTGGCACCAGGTCGAGGGCGTCGTCCTCGTTTCCCTCCAGCTCGGCCACCACCACCAGCAGGTTGGTCCACACGAACACCGCGCTGAGGGGAACGGAGGGACAGGGCGGTCAGAACGGGCGGACGGGGGAGCTGAGCGGCTTGGCGGGTTTGTGGGAGCCATAGCCAATGTGTGGTGATATGTGGTTCAAGACAAGACAAGATTGAGAATGCAATGGCGCTAAGAACTTTACGAATTCCGTGAGGGAAAATAAGATAGGAAGATGAAACACAGAAGGCATCAGCTTATATTATTACTTTCACAAAAAAGGGTTAATAACTATGAAACAATATGCCACTGCCTACTAAAACTAGCCCACAATACAGAAGGCTAGACAAACAACTCCGCGCCGCCTTTCTCGCGACGTCTGCCCTGCGCGGGCCACTCACCATTCGACCACCTTCTTGTGGCACTTGAGCACCGAGGTCTCGATGTCGATCGGGTGGTAGCGCATCCCCCGCAGCATCACCGTCTCGTCCAGCGAGCCCACCACGAATACGGCGTCGTGCTTCTCTGTGGACGGAGAGGTCAAACGCGGTCAGTAATGTCAAACGCTGCCACACGGGCAAAGAGCCCAGTCATGGCGGTGGGCAGATACTGAACATTGCTGCGTCATGGTGCATGTGAATCCCATGAGCCTACGAAAAGCCCATAGAGTAAAAACAATGCACAAAGAACACATAAATAACGAGACTGGGCTAAGTCACGCGATACTATACACACCTCACACGCGGATTAAGATTTCCCAGGATCTTAACCCGGCAGTTGCTGGGGTATTTCGCCACCCACCGTTTGCTGGGGGGGGGGGGGGGTGCGTTAAACGCCCCCAGCCGATAACTCGAGAACCAATAGGCGCAGCGAAACGCACGAGGCGGCAAACGAAAGAGCGCGACGAGACGATTCAGATGAGTACTTTAAAGTTGAATTTTGAGGTCACAGGTCGGGTCAAGGTCAGGTCAAACACCTGAAATCGGGCTTTCAGTAGCATGGACTTCAGGACTTCGCAATGGGTGCCTCTCGTCATAAACTCTGTCCAAACGGTGCACAATCCATCATATAAGGCCTACAAGAGTGTCAGCTCCATGTCGGGGTCAGTCAAGCATAGGTCAGGGTCAAGGTCAGGTCAACCGGGTAGGCACATATCCCCGAAAATCAAAACTGATATTCGCAGCCTGTGACACATGTTTTACAGGTAATTTGGGGCGTAGAACACGATGGTGACATTCATTTTGTCATATGTGTACGTGTTTGGCTCAAAAAGTTCAATTTAAGAAATGCATGTATCATGGTCGTGAAGTAGTCACGAAAAATTGCCAAGATTCAGTTCAAGATTATGGAAAATGCGGAACGATAATCAATAATCGAAGATAGCCATTTGATTGATCATGGTATTGGCAGTCTAATGGCGTTTACGGCATGTCTGTATGTCTATTCTGTGATTTTATATGATTTTTTGAACATATGCCGTTTTTGGTCGAAAACTCAGAAATCATGACGTCACTAAAACCTCGATATTTCAAAAAATTTCCGACCGATTTTTTTGAAACTTTGTCACAATAAACTTCATTCAATTCCCTACAGGTTCCCAAAATTTTTTATGCTATGGCCCGGCGAAAAAAGTGGGGGCGTTTAACGCCCCCCCCCCCCCCCCCAGCAACTCGCGGGTTAACGACAAGAGACTCATAAATATGTACACAATGAGCCTGGATGATATGCAAAATACGGTGTTGTTATGCAATTGAAAAACAAAACATGGCTTATCCCACACAGGTGGCGAAAAGCGCTAAATAGTAAACACCCAGCTCATACATCCACTTATCAACTGTAGATTTTGGGTGGTCGGTCCGACCCCAACACTGCAGAACCCAGGTAAAGTGGCCCCCACCCGGGAAAGCCGCCCCACTCAGGCCACAGGCACGCCCGGCGGAAGACGCAAACAAAACGCGATCACGGAAGCCGGGCAGCCACAGGAAAGTACCCGGTAAACAATCCGTCAGGTCTGCACGGGTTAGTTTCCCCGTGACAACAGAAAACGGACACCCACTGACACGCGACGGGACAGGGGCGGCTCGTCAGCGCGCTACCAGTGTGTGCCAGATGCCACTGACATGACATCATGTAAAAGATGACCTCGGCTGACGTCATAATTTCTGCATATACCTTTTGGTTTACTAATCAAAAGATTCACAAACTTCCCAGAACTCGACCAAAAATATAGCTTTTAAAGTTGTGAACAGTTGAAAATCCATGAAAAATGTATTATTGTAGAAAAGGAACTGATTTATCCATCCCCTTTCGTCATCTAGCCAAGCTTCACCTACGGAACGAATCCGCTCAGTTGACATTTTGCATTGTTTTGTGGAAATAACAAGTCAATTTTATTTAGTCAATTTTCGTGTATTTTTGAAAGCACTCGACCATTTCTTGACATCCGTCGTCGCAAGACACGTTCTCCTCATTCCATCCATCCATCCCTCCCTCCCTCCCTCCCTCCCTCCATCTCTCTCCCCTCCCTCCCTCCACTCACCGCCATCCGCAGCCACACTGTCGGTGCGTCGCAGGAAGCCCAGGTAGCCGGTCCGTGCGTACACCTCGCCCGTCGAGCCGGTGACCAGCTGGGCAGTGAAGTGATCCGAGGTGCCCGAGTCGTCTCCGTAGATGGTGAAGTAGCCCGTCGAGGTGTGTGGCGACTGCACCCAGATCTGTGAGGAGAGCGAGGGTTGATAAATAAATTGCTTGTTGTGACTACACCAAGATCTGTCGGGGAGAACGGGGTTGGCAAATTAAATAGTGTATGTGTGGAGACTGGACCCTGATCTGAGGTCTAGAAGGGAGGTTGGTAAACAGTCTGTGTGGCGACTCTACCCGGACCTACGGAGAGAGCGAGAGATGGTTAACAGTCTGTATGGCTGTGCCTGAGATAGGGGACGGTTGGGGTCGTAAGATGTGGGGGGTTTAGAGGTAGTTGAGGACACGCAACTTGCTATTCTTCCTGAATGACAGTTGTTGAGGAACGTGTAAGGGAGAAATCAAACTACTAACACATGGTCGACATCATACACCATATTATGCCCATTGGATGATACGCATATTGCATAATGCACTTGTATTGGCACCGTTCTTGCCCATGCGAACATTATCGATATATGATGCTGTCGAAGTCAATTATTTCCCTCGATTTTGTTTTCAGTTTTCTTTTGTACAAAACATACTACGATTAAGTACAGAGAAAGCCTTGCTTCAAAAGTTTAAGAGCACAAAAACAGCGTCTTCTGTCGATTTGGAGTACGATGCGGGGTGGCAGGCACACGCAAACAGATAACATTGCAATCTAACTATAACCACATTTTTAGGGTTTCACAAAAAAAAACATCTGGGTTTTTAAGGCAGACACTCCTAGTCCACGATACTACGTAGCTGCACTATGTAAAAATACATGACGCCACTTTCTACGCAGTTTCTACGAAAAAGTCTACGCCCCGAGTTCGCGGAAAAGGAAGGGGACGGGCGGTAAATGTGCCCAGAGGATTAACGGGGCGATACGCGAGGTCAGCATGTGGTTATGTAACTGCTTGGCCTCGACAAAAAAGGATCAACACAGCTCCAAACTTTCCAATACGGCACACCCCACACGGCCAATTATGTAATGGGTCAAACAGTGGGCGGTGTTAGGAGCCTGGAGCGCTTGTGAGAATCATTTTATAAATATTTAACACTTTTGCTAACACAGGAAACCCAGTAAAAACAATCTGTCACTCAAGTAACGAGCAAGGTCATTTCAACCCTCCAGCGTCCCTACCCGCTTGGTTGGTTAGTATGGTTACCCATTGTTTATGATTGCCCGCTTCCTGAGTCTCCCTAGCATTACCTTCCATACACCTCCTCGAGCCGCCACCTCCGGGACGGTCGGAACAATATCTCCACCGCATTGGGCGCAGACCGACACCCGAGTGCGCTCAGTGCAACGACACCACATGCCCGGCGGGCCGATGTCTCGTCTGTGGCGAGGCCGCGGACACCCCGGCGCACGTACTACTGGAGTGCCCGTGCCTGTTCGGCCCCCGCCTCCAAGCGCTGGGTAACATCACAGGCACGGCCCGAGACGTACAGCGCGACGACGTGGTGGCGGCCTTGGCCGCCGGCTACGCGGCCCACAAGAGCCGCGTGGCTCCGTCACCGCCTCGGCGGTGACCGGGAGGAACAACAACAACAACAACAACAGCCGCCACCTCCACCCTTCAGCAGCCAAAACACCCGCCTCTCCTGCATCCCAACCCTGTCCCATCGCCACACCTGAGCTCAGTTCATCCACCAGCCTATCCCCATCCCTCCAGCAGCATCCCAACCTCACTCCTCCACCAGCTAAGCCGCACCCCTCCACCAGCTAAGCCGCACTCCTCCCCTCCACCAGCCCAACTCCACCTTTGCACCATCCCAACCCCGTCCCTCCACCACCCCGCCCTCCTACTGACCTCCCCGAGGTTGGAGTCGCCGCAGTGACCCTTGGTCTCCGGGTTGGCGATGATGACCTTCACTCCGGGCAGCAGTTTGCCCGACTCCATCAGACAGAGGCTGTGAGGTGCTCCGCGCTCTACCAGCGTGACGCGGTCGTTCCTCAGCGCACGCAGATCCACAAACACCGTGCTCGGGTCCGGAGACGAGGCGCCCTGGGTAGAGAAACACGAGGGTTCGGTCATCGTGTGTGTTGGGATGGGGAAGGGAAGTGTCCAGCTGACTACACTATACACACAAGGGAGTGCAGTCAATGTGTGGCGGGGAAAGGCGCTCCGGGCAAGAAACATGGATCTCGGTTCGTGGGTGTGACACGGAGACGAGGCACCCTGACGATACATCCGTAGGTCCAAGTACACGGTCTGGGGATGTCGGTAGTCGGTACTCTCTACCATGTGGTCAAACTACACCCATAAGAGACCAAATGAATGCGTACACATAATTTTCATTCTAGTGTATAAATGTTTAAGCTGAGCTAGCTATTGTTACCAAAATTACATAATGCAACGAGCATTTAGCGCCCAGCGTGTTACATAATAGAATGTTCCCTGCTTTACATTACGTAATGAAGAGCATTCAGCGAAATAAAATCAAAAGCCAGGTAATTTTGAACTTCCTACCACAGCCCACTCCACTTGAAAAATTCCAATCCACAGCTCAATACAAACTACACCAGCTATAAATATCCCCAACACTTTCTCCACCCCTCGCATCTTCTTCCCACCAAGTGATTCCTCCCTTCCCTCTACTTTTCCCATCTCTCTCCACTCCGTCTCCCGCTCCCCGCACCTGCAGACAGATGGCCACATTGACGCGGCACCCGAAGCTGGTGCTGACTGCCCGCGGACTCAGAGCCAGCCCGGAGAACAGTCGACTGAAGGAGGTACAGAGCGCGATCCGAGGCCGCTCCTCCGCCACCACCACGCAGGTACGCACGCAGGAGAGGTTCACACCGCGCTGGCGCAGCAGGGGGATGGATGACGAGAGGCCCTTGGTGCAGAGCTCCATCACACCTGGCGGGGAGATAGTAGGGGAGGTTAGAGGGTCGGAGGGAGGGATCGGCGACACGACAGGCTCTTGATGCAAAGACGGACTCTATTGGTTGTTGGTTTACTGAGGCTTGACGGCAGGCAAACTGCTGAGATTATTATGTGCCAGAGCCTCAACGTATGGGCAAAAGGAAGCTCTATTAAAAAGTTAAGGAGATTAACTGAGAAAAGTGCCATTTCTTTCTCACCATATAAGCAGGTGCCCCCGACATTGCGCTGAACTCACCGTATGAGCAGAAGGTATCCCTGACTTTGTGCTGGCTGACGGCGGTCAGCCACAGGGCCGGGTTGGTCTCCACCTCCGAAGGCGGTATCAGGATCGAGTGGTGGCCCGAGTAGATGCTGAAAAACACACGGAACATATACACACCGTCAGACACACGTGAACCACTGCGACACTTCAGTCAATGTCTCAAAGTTCAATCAACAAGCATTCCTGAATTTAATATCCTACATTTAGTGTTACCATCACATCATCATCCTCTCAATCATTCATTCTCCACTCCAACTCAAACTCAATATAATCGATCAGTGACCACTAGCCCCGTCCAACAATAGTCTCCCATTCTTTCCGCCTCTTCCGTACCTGCTGAGGCACCAGAGCGCGAAGCCGAGCCCGCAGTAGGGGTCCAGGCAGAGCGCCACGTGCCGCGACGGGTACAGCTCGCAGGCCAACTTCATGGATCGGCACAACGACGTGGTGGCAGCGTGTGACATCTTGATGCCGGCCAGCATGCCCGTCGTGGAGACGCTGTAGGGAAGGGGGAGGGCGCTGTTAGTCTCGCAAAGAAGGCAGCGGGCACAGTCAGGGACAGTGTTACTACATACAAGCTTCATGGGACGCCGCCAGTGGAGTCAGTGGAGCCAGACAGAGGGCGCTGCTGTTGGACTAGACCAGACTCGTCTCTGAGAGCCATGCGGAGACACCACGCCTTGCCTGTAGATCACTATAAAATAGTGAATAAACATTCTACTATAAAACTCAAAGACACAGAGGAATTCTACGAAGCATCACTCGCTACCTGATCCTCTCCGTATATTCCCTTCCTCTTCTAACCCTTCCCTTTCCCTCTCCTCTCCCCTGTTCCGAATCCGATCACCCACCTGAAGTCGAGGTAGGCGAGCATCTCTGCCGTGGGCGCCCGGTACACGGCCACCAGTTTCCTCTTTGGCATGTCGTCTGTGTCCAGTGTGGGCGGCCACGACTTGACATCGACCACGTTGGACGCCTCCTTGGAGCGCAGCAGCTTGATGACCGTCTGGTTGGAGAGGATGAGCACCGACTTGCTGACGTCGACCGTCATGCGGACGGTGGGCAGCGTGGTCTGCAGGTTCTGAGGGTGCGGCGGCCGGATGGTGACCGGTACCGCGCCTGAGGGCACAGACACGAGTACGCGGTCAGAACGGTCACAGGGATCAGCAGTTAACTGGTCAGAGGGTCACATGTCAGTCCGTCAGTAGGGATAGGGCACGTATTAAGTTGACAGTTGAGCAGCCTTTGGACTATCGACAGCAAAGGAAGCAATTTGGTAGCAAGGTAAGTGTTCGTGAACGCAGACAGATCACTTCAATGACAGAACAAATTAACTAACTGAGGTAAATAAGTTCCAATTAGGCAATAATAACACATTTAAGAAAGACTCCGACGAGCGACTGATCGCTCGAACATGGGGGATACCCTAGTCACTTACCGACGTAGAGGCAGCCGTAGAAGGCGGCGATGAGGTCGAGGCCGGGCGGATAGACGAGCGCCACGTGGTCGCCCGTGTTGACGTGACCCTTCTCCAGGAGAAGGCAGCCAACCCGCTCCGCCCTCTGTGTCAGAACAGGGAAAGAGGGCGGTTAGGGAAGTAATGGGGACACAGTAGTCTGGCGATGTGACTAGAGAAAACAAATACCGTGCGACCGAAACTCATCACCTAAATAGGCCACTGATTGATCCCCGATGCAGACAGTCTGCTGATAAGCGGATTAAGTATTTCGAAAATTCACTGGTGATAGGCAGCCATGTCTACTATCAGCTAGTCATTTTCGCTTTATCATATGGTGACAGCTATGCCCCCGTTTCTCACCTTGTGCAGCTGCGCGCAGGTGAGTGTGGAGCTCGGCCCGCCCTTGGCGTTGAGCAGTGTGAACAGCGCGTGGTCGGAGGTGGTCTGTGCCCGCCAGCGCAGAATCTCCGAGATGAACTGGTGCTGCAATCACAGCCAAACAGGCGGTCAGATAAATGTACGTGGGTAACGTACCACTGTTAAGCAGGACGTAAAACTGCACAATAGTCACCAATCCACCCTACATCCGGTGACAAAAAGCAGTCGAATGAAAGATGTGCTTTCTTCGAAACAATCCAAACAACCGATTTAAGATTCCTCAACGTCAAGTGTTCCGTGGCTCAACGTCTGAATAGCCACGGAACACTTTTCATGTAGCTGCCACTTAATAAAAACAGCCCAACTCTTTACTGAAAAAGTACCGCCCAGTTACAACTTTCCCACCCTCGTCGGCAACCGTGACTCCGGCTGACCGGACGGCCACCTAGTCCCGCAGAGTGCAGAGCAGAGTGACTCTGACCGGACACCGTCACATAGGTACTGACCTTTTTGGTGGTATCGTTCTCGTCGTCGGCGGTGCCCAGGTCCCGTCCCTGCGCCGTCGCCAGCCGGTTCCCCTGCACGATGTTACCCAGCATCACGCTGGCAGGACCCACGTCGGCTGGAAGAGAGAGGGAGGGAGGTGTCAGCGAAGGCTGGCGGACGTGTGATGTGTGAACACAGTACGGTGTGTTGACTAAGAGTGCGGGTTATGAGAAAACACTCAGTTAAATATCTACAAGATACCTACCTAATCCACAATTATTCACTGGCTCAACAATGTCCACATAATCCCACACTATAAGTAGGTAGGTAATTTAGTCAGACGCGACACCTGAACCTACCCTGAATCTACTCACCACATCCCGTCTCCTCACTCCTCTCACCTTTGTGCACCTCGCGCGGCTTCGGCAGGTTGGTGACACACGTGTGCGGACACATGAGCACGTTGGCCGGGTGCAGGCACCCGTCCAGGAAGCGCCGCTTCGTCTCCGACAGGTGGATGCCTCCCAGGGGCGTCTTGGGCAGGTAGTTGTGCGGCACCAGACACAGACAGTAGATGCCGACCTGGTGGATCGAGTCGACCGCCTGCAGCACCCGTGACATCCACTGGAAACTCTGCCGGAGGGAGAGCATAATCGGCGTCAGAGTCGGAAGGATGGGAAGTCGGCGACATCGCCACAGTACACAGGTTGACATAAGCATTACTTTTGCTGGGTGACACAAATGCATTGGAAGCCGAGCGTCAAACAAATCACACATCCAAGCGCAAGTAGCTGATCTGCCAAAACAAATATTAAGAGAGCTTCATTTCCGAGTTCTGTCCACTCGGAGCCGTTTCATTCCACCGCTATCTTGTTCCTACTTCCCTGTCCTTCTTATCTGTACCCCTGTATCCCTGACCCATTCTCCTGTTGTGCTGACCTGTTCCTCTGTGCACTCTGGCCTCTGCTCTGCCACCACGCAGATGCGCTCGTCGCGCAGCACGCGGATGCTGAACACGCCGATCCGTCCCCGGTAGATGAACTTCATCGGCTCGACGGCCAGGATGGTGGCGATGATGTCGTCCGTGTTGTGTTTCCGGCCGGAGACGGTCATCAGGCCCTGGCGAGAGCCGCACACGAACACCAGACCGCCCTGCCGGAGGAGAGGAGCGCGACGGTGGTTACACTTGAGGTTATAACAGATCGAATGGGGAACACCTCGATAAAGTCCGTCGCCTGCACACTTGCAAGTGAAAAAAGGGATACCGCCGCACCTGAGCGCAGCATGACAGTCATGGGAGCATAGGGCGAGAATACCAGAAACAAGTTCTGCTGATTAATAAGAAAATGAAACGACCAGAAGACGGCTGTAAAAATATTACTTAAAATGGTGATACCGAGATAGTCATGGCCCATCTCATTAGCGTAACACAATAGCTGTGGCGCTGGCCGCGGTTCTCGTTGGGATGTAGAGGCGATAGGTGCGGCCAACCACAGGCTCAGCTAAGACAGCCCTCCCAGCAGCCACTTTTTGCAGCCCAACGCCCCGATGGGACGATAAATGCCCGGATAACATAAAAAGGCATCTGCAGAAAACCGCATCGATCATGTGAAAAATAATGGACAATTAAATGACACATCGCGCTTCAAACCGAGAAAAGCCACAAGATAAGCTTCTCCGTAAAATGATATCACCCATGGCTATACCGAACAATTACAGCCCAAACCGAGACCATTTCGATCTGTGAGGCCAAGTAACCACATCCGGGCGAGTGATCGATCAAAAGGCGGCTGCAAGACCGTGTCACTGTCCTGTAAACCCATTGCACGTCTCAACGTGACGCACTTCCTTTTGGAAAGCGGCCACCTGCTACTGGATAAGCTCAGTAACGCTAAAGAACGAGGAAGCTAGTTATGCTAGCTAATCCCATTGTCATTCAGCCTACTGCATCTTACCGTGCGGCCTGAGGTGTTGGGCTTTTGGGCGGGCGCTTCAGTGCATATAGATTATCAAGTGATGCCTATAAATTATATTCCACGTTATATTCCGCGAATGCGATTGCGTTAGATACAATGCCTGTAAACTTCCGACAATTTTAGTTTTCCTTTAGCGAACAAATTCTCGAACAGATCGCGCCCCCCCCCCCCCATTACCAGCATTCAGCAATCAGTCCCAGAGAGCTGACTGGATAGTGACCCTCCATCCCATTCTCTACCCCAAGCATCCCTCCCTCTGGACTCACCGGTCCGAGGAAGCCGAGCAGTCCGCTGCGTACTGACCCTCTACCCCATCCTTTGCCCATCCCCGCCCTTTTCCCCGCGCCTCACCGGTCCGAGGAATCCGAGCAGTCCGCTGCGCACGTAGTCCTGGTCTCCGAGACCGGAGCCGTCGGCGCGCAGCGGTCGCACGCGGAAGGTCTGGTTGGTGACGCCCTGCAGCCCCCAGTAGCTGGTGCCGGCTGCGGCCGAGCTGACGCAGATCTCACCCACCTCGTCCGTACTGCAGAGCCGCGGCTCGCCGTCCGGCCGCACCACAACAGTGGTCGCTGCAAAGTGGCAGGGGCAGTTAGCGCTGTTGGTGAGTTAGAGCACACAAGAACATGTAGAACACACAAGGGCACATGAGCTGTTTGCGAGGTGCTTGCAAAGAATGACAAAGAGGAGTGGACTCTTTCACACCTCTTAGCAGGTCACTTTACACCTCAAAAGTAGTTTGCTGTTGTCACACCATCATGGAGCTTAAGCAGTCACACATCTCTATCACATTGAAAACAAAATCATTTTATGCGTATGCGTATACGACGCAGAGTGCTAGTGTTAGCATATCTCGCGTATGTAGCCTATGTCTACCGCGCCCGGCCGCCGTTTCGCTATCACTGACCTCCGGGCAGCACCTGTCCGCAGTCCTGCAGTGTCAGCGAGGTCAGGCTGTTCTCCTGGTCCACGCGCACCACGCCGTGACTCAGGCCGGCCATGCTGAGCACCCCCCGGCCTGTCGTGTTGGCACCTCCCTGCCCGGGCCGGCGCACCGCCACTGTCATCGTTTCACAACTGCTGGCACATGGGCAGATGGCGTCCGGGCGCAGACCTTTGGACTGGAACACGCTTAGGAACTGGTCGCAGGAGCTGAGCGACCACGGGTTGGCACCATCCGCCACCAGCAGCAGCCGCAGAGAGGACAGGTTGATGTCCTTGTGGTCCTTGGTGGCCAGCAGACCCCAGTGCAGGTCGCGAGACTTGACGATCGCGATGCTCGCTGCCGGAAGGAAAACGGGTGGTTGGTGGGGTCTGGGGAGACGCTAGATTGATTCAAGAGCTATTATTCACTTCGGCGGACAATTGCGGTAGCTGAAATGCTCGCGATAAAATGCCAACACGTCGAGACTTCTCCAATAAGAGGAATTCAATCGCACCAAAATGAATCAAGGTAAGGCTAGTCCCATAAGAACGTTATCTTAAGATGGCGATTGTACTGGATTCTTGTGGTAAACCCATCATAGACCAACCAGATTCAGTCACACCACCTCACCTTTGAACTTTGTGATCATCTGCATCCAGCTGGCCGGGTTCACCTTCATCAGTGAGTAGGGGATGAAGATGACGTGCATGCCATTGAACACGGAACACAGCGTGGCGTGCCACAGGCCCACCTGAAAACACACAGACATACAGTTAAGTGAGCCAGTCCCTGTGTCACGCAGCCCAGCGATGGACAATACGGGGAGCGACGGGACCGGCACTGGAGCCGCGGCAGGCGCGGCGTTCACACAAAGGGACGGAAAACGGATGACACTCAATGGAAAACCGACAGAGGATAATGACCGCGTGATGGTCAGCTGTCATATCAACAATCAATTAAAACGACAAACTTCAACAAACGTTGGCTCAAATATCCGCTCTCATCTAATATCAGACGGATTGTCTGTAATCAATAAAAGTAAAGTCCCGATTTGCATCTGTTTTGAACATTATATTGCAAATATCATCGCAATCAATACAGGTAAGACAAAGTGAACGCCATTTTCACTTTTCAACAAGAAAAGCTACGCAGATATGCTGAAGAGGACAGTCGAAGAGAAACTAGATGCACAATTTGCGAAACCAAGCATTTCTGGACAAACTTCAAATGACACCACATTGGTGGATGAATACATTGAAAGGCAGAGTAGGAAAACAAATGTCATCATCAACAACATACCGGAAAGTGACAACCCAAATGGTGAAGAAGCTAAGCAGGAGGACTGGCATAAAGTGAACAGGCTGTTCCAAAGACTACACATCCATGTGGAGGTAAAAAAGGTGTCGAGGATTGGCCGAAAACAGGAAGGTAAGAGACGTCTTCTTTTGGTCATTCTAGGTTCAGAGGATCACAAGTGGGAGGCTTTGCGTGTCGCTAAAGGGTTGCGTGACCTGGAAGAGTATGAAAATGTATATGTCAATCCCGATCTGACCAAAAGTGAACGGGAGCAAAACAAAAAGCTGAGGGAAGAGCTCAAGGAGAGAAGGCAGAAGGGTGATGATGTGGTGATTCACAGAGGGAAGGTTGTCCCCAGACAGCGAACAAACAGAAATTGACTAGCAACCAGAGAGTACAATGGGGCTGACTGTCAAGATGCTAGCAGTTCTAAGAGGCTGAGTAGGGCATTGCAAGTATTGTATACAAATGCTGATCAATTCCCTAACAAAAAAGACGAGTTATGTTCACTGCTCAATCAGGAAAGTGTTGATATAGTTGTTATTACTGAAGCCATCCCGAAGGCTCAATTTCAACCAATGTTTGAAAGTTTGTTGAATATCAGCGGATACTTCATGATTTCTAACTTCGAATTTGAAGCAGATAATCTTGGCAGCAGCGGGAAGAGAGGAATTCTAATGTATATTGCTAAAAGTCTTCACATAACAGAGGTGAAAATGAAGACAGCTTTTGATGAGCAGCTTTGGATCAGTATTAGCACTGCTAAGCAACGCAATGTGTTATTGGGCTGTGTATATCGTAGCCCCAACTCATCCTACCAAAATTCACAGGCATTGTTTGAGTTGCTGAAGGAGGCTGCATCAGCAACGACGTTCAGTCAGGTTGTGATCATGGGCGATATAAATATCGGAAAAATAGATTGGGAAGCATTTGCAGTTTTACCTGGTGCTACAAGTCTTTCACAAGAGCTTCTTGATTGCATGGAAGACAATTTCATGATACAACATGTGAAGGAACCAACACGATATAGAGTCGGAAATGACCCAAGCATATTAGATCTGATAATAACAACAGAGGAGGACACAGTAAGCTGCTTGGATTATTGTCCTGGTTTGGGGAAAAGTGATCATTGTTGCATCAAGTTTAAAGTGAATCACTTGTTTACAAAGAGAACCAAAGAATGCAGACTCAATTTCCACAAAGGACGTTATGACATGGCTAGGGAAAAAATCATGAATATTGCTTGGGAAGAGCAAATGGAAGAAATGTCAGCAGATCATGCTTGTGACTTCTTCAACAACACGATGACTGCTATCATCCAAGACACCATTCCAAGGCAGAGGACAAAAGAAAAGCCCAATCAACTGTACATGAATAATGAAGTACTAAGGCTCAGGTCTCAAAAGTTTCGTTTGTGGCTGAAGTGGAAGGCAAGTAATAATGACATTGATGGTGCTAGATATTCTAGAATCAGTAACAAATTAAGAAAGGAAACCAGGAAACTACGCAGGCGCTTTGAAGAGGGTATAGCCAAGAATATAAAGAGTGATGTGAAAACTTTCTGGAAATACGTGAAGTCGAGGGTAAAGGCGAGAATACCCATTGGAGATATACTCACCCCAGATGGCAAAAGAGCAGTAGAAGATGAGGACAAGGCAGAAGTACTCAATAACTATTTTGGTACTGTGTTTACAGCAGAAGACTGTACTTTTGTTCCAGAACTGGAAACAAGAACCCAAGAGGAGCTATGCTCTTTCACTGTGACTCAGGAACAAGTAAAAATAAAACTTCAGCAACTTGATATAACAAAGTCCTCGGGACCTGACGGACTTCACCCAAGGTTCTTAAAAGAAACTGCTGATGAAATCGCTGTACCCCTTACCATTATCTATAACAAGTCGCTAGCATCGGGTAGAGTGCCAAAGGCCTGGAAAATTGGACATGTTACAGCCATTCATAAAGGTGGAGACAAAAGTGCTCCAAGTAATTATCGACCGATTAGTCTGACATCGGTCCCCTGCAAGATCCTAGAGGGATTCGTGAAAAGTAATATCATAGACCACATGATGATTAATAATTTGTTTTGTGACAACCAACATGGCTTTGTCCCAGGGAGGTCATGTACAACACAGCTTATGGAAACTTTGGAAGAATGGACACTATTGTTGGATGAAGGAGGAGCAGTCGACGTAGCCTACATGGATTTTCGTAAAGCATTTGATTGTGTCCCTCATAAGAGACTGCTCAACAAACTCAAAGCTTATGGCATCAAGGGAGATTTACTGAAGTGGATTGAGAATTTTTGACTGATAGCAGGCAACGAGTTGTGGTGAATGATAAGAAATCATCTTGGTGTACTATCTTAAGTGGGATTCCCCAAGGCTCGGTACTGGGTCCGGTACTTTTTGTGTTGTTTATAAATGACTTACCAGAAGAACTAGATTCAAATGTGAAGATCTACGCAGATGACACAAAGATATACCGACGTGTTAACTCTGAGACCGATCATGATGCAATGCAGGCTGACTTAAACAAGGTCAAAGAATGGTCCGAGAAGTGGCAACTTCATTTCAATGAGAAAAAATGTAAAATCATGCATCTTGGTAAGCAAAAGGAGTTGCAACCTTATACGCTAGGACAATCAGCCATGGCTGTTACGGAAGAAGAAAAGGATCTGGGTGTTATAATGGACAAAGAATTGAAATTTCACTCTCACACTGCAAAAGTGGCGAAGAAGGCCAATCAAGTTCTGGGGTTGATAAAAAAGGCATTTTCAGCCAGAAATAAAACAATGATTTTGCCACTATATAAAACATTGGTGCGGCCGCTCCTAGAATACGGAAATGTGATCTGGGGCCCTATATATGAAACCGACAAAGCAAAAATAGAGAAAGTGCAAAGAAGGGCAACCCGCCTGGTTACTGAGGTGAAACATCTGTCGTATGAAGAAAGACTGCGTGCGCTAAATATTCCGTCATTGAGTCATCGGCGGTACCGGGGGGATATGATACAGGTGTTCAAAATTATGAAAGGAATGGAACGGGTGAGAGTCGAACACTTCTTCCAGATGACTACAGATACACGAACCCGCGGCCATAGTCATAAAGTGAAGAAACCAAGGGCAAGACTAGCAACCAGACAGCACTTTTTCTCAAGCAGGACGGTCAACAGTTGGAATGCCCTGTCACAATCCTTGGTAGACTCTCAAAATGTAAACCAATTTAAGAATAGGTTTGACGAAATTCAAACAAACAGCTCACTGTACTCAACTAGTAGCCAGTAAAGTTATGGCACGAGAGTGGACCAGTTGGGTTCACTTATAAAGTCAAGAGCAGGACCAACAGGGCTTATTAGTCCTCTTTACCTGAACATCAAGTACATCAAGTACATTTTTCCTGTACATTCAATCACACACAACTAAAACCGTCGTATATCCACACGGTAACACATTGTTCTCTAAAACAGCGTCTTTTCAGCGTTGAGGCTCACCTCGCGTTTGAAGTCGACCACGCAGACGCAGATTTCTCCCTCCGTGTAGCCGCAGGCGGACGTGAGGGTGCGGCACTGGGCCAGCATGGCGGCCCGGCTCACCGTGACACCCATCACCGAGCCGTCGCCGCCAGAGGTGTACTGAAACACACATAATAGGTGTAATGTGACTCCCATCACCGAGCCGTCACCGCCAGAGGTGTACTGAAACACACATAATAGTAGTATTATCACGCCCATCACCGAGCCGTTACCGCCAGAGGTGTACTGAAACACACAGAATAGGTGTAATGTGACTCCCATCACCGAGCCGTCACCGCCAGAGGTGTACTGAAACACACAGAATAGATGTAATGCTAAGCACAGAACCGGTGTAATGTCAAACTCATACACATCACCGAGCCGTCACCGCCGGAGGTGTACTGAAACACACAGAATAGGTGCAATGCGACACCAATCACCGAGCCGTTTCCGCGAAAGCTCATTAAGCCAATGTGTTTTGCACTGAAAAACCGACCCACCAGGATCTTATACGAGTATAGACAGTTTGAAGCCTAAGGACACACCCAAACCCAAAAATCGTAATCTTGTGACAATGTACAAGCGTTATGGTTTGGTTCGCCTTTTACGTACGATATGACTATCTCAACACTTTATTTCGCGCTGAATGACGGAACCCAGACGATGAATGACCCAGACGTTATACGTCCCGGTGACCGTCTATGTAAACCCCATAACAAACACTCAGTGGCACGAGCCACGACCCAGCGACAAAACTAACAATGATCGCATTAACCCATCAGACCCAGACAGACAAACAAACTACTCGGTGCCACCACGTAAACACGTTAGGTCATACGAAGACAGCCGCACTCAGTTTAACCCTATCGGCCAGCTGGCATTCGCCCCAAATTTAGCAAAGAGGCTTTTCATCGAGTGCGTGACACACGAAATAAGTGCACGTCGCATCAGCGTCTCATTAGAAGGAAGCTACGCACGTTATGCTTGACAGCTCTAAGCCATTATAGAAGCCTGTAGATGTGCGTAGCGATAAGCTGTCTTTCTGTGGCTTCAACTCGGCATGACAGGAATGATGAATTAGGTACAAGGAAAAATGGAATGTCAGCGGACAGTGTCTTAATAAACGTGCGAAATTTAGCCGCGCAGAAGCGAGTAGCCAGCGCCCAGAAATCTAAAAAAGTGAAAGCAGGCTGCGTAGTTCGATGAACGAAACTGCACTGGTCTTCTCTTGTCTCTTGGGCACCATGCAGTGCCTCAACTCCTTCCTGCTTATCCCTCTTTTATTCCCATTTCATCTCGAATTCCCATCCTCCTTATTACTTCCTCCCTATCTAATCTTCCTCTCCCCCCGGAGACAGGTCATCTCCTCACCTCGACATAGGCGGGCGTGTCGTCGTTGAGTCGCGGCGGCGGCTGCCACTCTTTGGGCGGCCGCGCTAGGTGTTCTGTGATGAACCAGTGCAGTTTGGGCCAGCCTTTAAACACAGCCACCTCGCCGCTGGCCGTCTTGGGCAGGCCCTTGTGACAGGGTTCGGTGGTGAGGGCCACCTGGACGCCGCAGCTGCCCAGCAGGAACCCAATCTGCAGCGAACCGGCGTCCTGCGCACGGCGGGCGGACGGGCAGACGGTCAGCGGGGAGGGGGACACGGGCCGGCGTCCTGTGCACGGTGGGAAGAAAGTTAGCATTTAGCGGGAAGGGGCACGGGCGGAGTAAATAATCTGCACACGGCAGACACATGATTAGCGAGGAAGACGCAAGAGCCAGTGTTCCGTTCTCTATACGGTGGACGGACGTCCAACGGTCAGCGAGCGGAATTCACCAGGAATGGGAAACACCAACCCGGGCCCTCTATTTGACACCACCACCGAGACACCATTCCTTCCCATCCACCAGTGTCCCGGGACAGGTACTCCGTGATGGGCACATCGATGTGTCATACAATACAATCCCTCCCATTCATTTGTCCCCAGGAAGGGCACTCAAACTCACCCTCCTTGTGATGGGCACCTCGATGGGTACCGGCACCATGCCGGCATACAGACACCCGTAGAAGGCGCACATGAAGCTCACGGGGTCACTGTTGGGGTACACCAGCGCCACCCTATCACCCGGCTTCAGGCTGGTCTCGCCGCGCGCCTTGTTGAGGAGTGCGAAGGCGATCTTGTGCGCCCGACTGAGCAGTTTGCCGTAGGTGAGCGGCACGGAGGGTTTGTTGGTGGCGTCTAGCACGGAGGCGCACGACGCCTTGAAGGTGGCGGAGCCGTACCGCTGGACGGCAGCCTCCAGGTTCCGAGGCAGGCCAGCGGGGATCTGTGGGGGCACAAAGTGAGGGGAGATTCAGAGAGTGGACTCTGGCAGGAATCTGTAGGGTACGAAAGAGAGGACGATCCCGCGGCAAGTCAACAGGGAGCTGCACGGCGAAAAACAGAAAACGTGTAATGATAAGGCATGATATGATATGGAATGGAATAATACTAACGCATAACGAATAAATGCCCGGTAGCTGTACACTTCGCCGAGCAAAATGTGCTGACTGATAAATAAGAGAAAACCTCATATAATACATCACAAGTTCTCACGCCCCAGCATTCTTTGCAACAGCTTTGCAGCGAACGCTCACGATTTTCACACTTGTACGTCAGCTGTAAACCGGTACACCACCACTACACTGCGGTAGCTGCTGTAAGCATCGCTTCGTCAGCAGCAACGCTAGCAGCTGCAGCATTAGCGTTAGCATTAGCGGACACAGCACCGCAGTCTGCACTGACACGAGCTGGTACGAGCCCGGAGAAACCGGCGAAATTCCGGGAACCGACCCGACAAACTCCGGATGTGAGTAGGTCAGCTTCGACAGCAGTGTGTGACGGTGGTCACTGGGGGACGGAATGAGACACGCACGAGTATGCGAAATGGAAGAAGGAAGTGAATAATGGATAAGGTGGGAGAGGAACGAGGGCGGCTTGCGAAAACAGTGAAACAGCGACCAAACAGTGACTGGGAAACGAGAGATTAGGCTGAATTGGTATTGACGGTCAGCAGGAGAACGGAAGACAGTTTTAGGAATCTTTAGCACGAAGTGCGCGAACCAACAGTCCAACTTACGAAAAACATTACCCTCGTATGTTAATCATCGTCTAAACTTATCGCCCATCGCAAGCAACAGGTCACCAAGTCACGCGGCGTCACCAACCTCTAAATGCTCGCCGACGGCGGGCGTCATGGGTCCTCCCTCGGGTTTGGGCGCGGCCGGGTCTCGGACTCTGGCAGCCATCTCTAGCTCCTCCTCATCATCCATATAGAACTCTGGCAGAGGTCGCCGCTTGGGCCGCTTCAGCGTGTTGAGAAGCTGCTGAATCTTGGTGGAGACCTTCCAGCGGGCGGTGGCTGCCGGGCGGGGAAAACACGGGAGGTCAGACACGAATTGTTAGGCAGTGACCGGCGCGCGTGGCCGGTACTCAGAATGCAGATATGGTTTTTGTGGCAGTGGTGGTGTTTTGGGGCACGCCACGGGTCAACAGACACCAGATCCCGCAGAGGAATGTGCGGGACTGCGGGATTTACGGTCCAGGAACCGGTTGTAGTTTGAAACACAGCTAGGTTGTCGGCTGGGGCGTTCTGAGGTGGCCGAGTCTGTACTGGTGTCTGTGGCGGTACCAGGCGATACTAAAACCGGCAGATGGCGCGATATTTGTGTAAATTCATTAAGCGGAAGGGGTGTCCACCCATGTTACAGCACGTGCATTGGATACACTGCACAGCACACACGATACGGCCTTAAAACAGCACGCTATTACCACCCACACAAAACATCAGGGCGTTTCAAGGGCGATGAATGACGTCTGAACTGACTGACCACGTCAGGGGCACATCTCCCTCTCTCAGACTCACGAGGGCGCTCGCCCGTCTCACCAGACACGTGCAGACTCGTCGGCACACTGCACACAACCACTTCCGCTGTCTGTCACAGACAAAGACACAACGATCGAGCCACTCATCCCACGTCACATTTAGTACATCCTGAATGTCCTATATCAAAGTTCCATCCGCATCTTTGTCGCTAAGCGTGACGAGCTTACAATATACAGCCATCTAACCACCGTTAAGTCAAGTTGTAGTGCCAGTTCTCTGTCATATCCTCACACATCTGAACAAGCCTTCAGAGTGTACCAGCCCGTTCTTCTGAGCCAGAACACTCTCAGACGGAGCAGGAAGTTCGTCTGCTCGGCAATGGACCATGTCATCACCGCTCGTTTAACCCGCCCACCGACCCTCTCACGTCGGACCCAGCCTCCAACGCCCGTCAGTCGGCGGACACAGCGACTGTGACTGTTTGTATAAAGACGCGAGAGTCTAGACAACACGCTTCCGCCTCAGATCAGTAGGAACTTCCGGTTCCGGGGAGGGGGTACGTGCGTACTGTATACGTCACTGCATGCGCGTGAGTCAGGACCAGACTCAGCGCCTCTCTCGCTGACGTTGACTGGTTGCCAGAAAATGACTGACAACTCCGCCACTGATAAACTAAGGCGACGGGTCCAGTCAGCGTAAACGTTGCCCTGAGACACGGTAAAGAGTAGCTTACTCAAAGCGGTGACGCATTTAGGACGTAGCACCCTCTCGCGGAAAACGCTGACCCCGATTATTGATATAAGATAGCTGACCCTTTTATTGATACTAGCACCTACCCGATTTCAAGTTGCGACTAGGTAAACACCCAGTGAAGCTCGATCAACTGAGTGACGCACGCTGCGTTCTTGTGAAAAACCGACACAAAACTCCGTCGGACTTGCTATGAAGGAACAAAAGGTCCACAAAACCGGTTCTATCGCCGTCAAAAGTCAGACTTCTCGCTAAATTGGCAGCGCTAAGACCTGTTAAGGATCGCCACATCCTGTTATGCATTTAGTCAGACCAGTATCTAAAGAGCATCACCGCAGTTTGGACCATTCAAAACCATAACGATCACCTGACACTCCTATAAACGTCTCGACGCAGCTCGCGCTCACCCGACCACCGCCGCCCCCTCCCCCGGCACACACCTGTGCACGTCCGGCCCGGGCCAGCCTGTGCCAAACCTGTCCATGGACCTGTCTGGACATGTACCCAGTGCGGTCTCGAGGTCGTCCAACATGGATTAGGTACTGGCTAGGCCGCAATGGCGGAAGAAAACTGGCCCGATGGATAAAAAGAAAGACAAGAAGAAAGAGTGAAAATGGTCATGCTCGCCAATCATGACGATAATTACCGTAATCGAGACTCGAGCCTTGTAACTCCAAAACCAAAATCAAACGAGCGTAGGTGTGCCGCCGACAGTACAGGCTCTATGATCAGGCTCGTCACATATGTGACAATCCGAACTTACCGCCACTTTCTCCAGTCCGTCCTTCGGTCTGTCCCCTCACTAGCCACCACTCTGGATTTCCTCCGCCCACGACACCAAACTCCCTTCTTCTAGCCACTGTGGGCGCTCGTCTCACACACCTCACCAACTCTCACCACTCCTCTCACCACGGCTACAGTGTCTCTCACTTAGCGCACGCACTGCTCACACCGCCGCCGGTCCAGCCGCTCGCACACGACCTGCTCCGTCGCGCGGCTCGCCTGCAATACTGAGTGAGCGGTCGGTCGGTGGAATTCCTCCAGCGCAGGCAGCCCGGCCAGCCCGGCCCGGAGCCGTCCGCGTGACTCACGCCTCCGAGCGACTGCTGACACTCGTACCCGACCGCTCGGAGCGGCGCACAGCGCACGGAGGAAGCGCGCGCTACGGCGAAAGCCACGGCCGAGTTGGTCCTGCGTATACTGTCGAGTACGATTCGGTGTATTCTACAGTCGAGTGCGGTTTAATGCGGCGCATGTTAGAAGCGCAATACGGCGGACGATGCGGCTCAGTTCGCCCGACGGATACCACAGCTGGGTGCGCCACCAAGGCGTTGCTAGCCTGCGGCACGCACAGCCCGCCTCCCATCCACTTACGGCGCCCACGCAATGTGAAGGTTCCGAGGCGCGCACGGCGGGACTCAGCACGCACCCTTCCCCGGCCTGTGACCTTGTGCTCTGGCCCATCGTTGCGCAGACAGAAAGGCGTAAAAACGCCAAGGATGATAGCTGCAAAGTTCTTATTTTCATTCGTAGACCAGTTTTCTATTTACCACCAATTCTCGGTTCTCTGTTGGCATGCCGCTATTAGAGTTTGAACCTATCAGACACAGCCTTTAACGGTAGCACAAAAAGCACACCGTGCTTCTCCCTCAACTTTGGACTCTGCGGTGCAGTTAATTTCCATCTTTTTTTTTGTAGTATCGAACGCCTGTCTGTCAAACTAACCCCGCCCCAACTTCTCAGCCACCACACGCAGTCTCTGACCCAGAAAATGTGAACCCTTCACTGCGTGACAGCCAGCCCGACAGCGTGTCATCGCCCGTCACACAAACTGTCAACTTATAGACGGACAGCCGGACCCTGTCCCCTCCAAGAACAACCGCAACGCTAATGGTTGCAGCAAACGCGTGGCCCGAGACGGACCACACACAGAGCGGGACGGACGTAACTGGTTTGCGGAGCTGCACTCGACGTCTTGGAGCCATTAATGACAAACTAACGGCGACGTTTTGTGGCGGGCGGTGACGTAAAATGACGTACGAACTGACACATTAGCACGCACAACGCGGGTGGTGGTTGGATCAGTCACAGCACAAGACAGAGCACACAGACTTTCGCACAGACAGACAAGACAGACGGACGAACTGAGAGAGCAACCAAACTAAGCGAGCGAACAAACGAACCAGCCGGGGCCTAGGCCGGCTGTAGACACACAGACGAACAAGACACATGGTACGGTGGTGGTATCCAGAAATGGCAGGCCAGTTCAGAAGGTTGGCAGCACAGGGCCTGTCGTGTGATCGTCGGGGGACCCGGGGAGCCTTAGCGACCGGCGGGGCAGCGCCCCCTTTGCGAGGTTAGCTTCTTGATTACAAGGAAGTTGACTAAGACTGTCACGTCACTAACTATGTACCACTTAGACGACGGTTTACAGGACAGGTTGCGTGGGGGTTCGCAGACACATACAGTTCTGATAAGGCGCTAAAAAGGGTCCTTCCACGATAATGCCTACCTACACTACATGAGGACTCCCTCGCCCCACATCACCACCCAAACGCTGATCTACCCCCGACTTCCCGCTGACAATCCCACATACCTCCGTGCGCCTCGTCCAGTGCGGCCGTGATGCTGGTACTACTGTTGACGCGCACAGAGGCCATGTGCGGCGGCTGGTAACGCGAGCTGCGACTGCTGCCCGTGTTGTGGGTCACGTCCGGCGGCTCGCAGTCTGTGGAAGAGAGGGGGATGAGTCACGAGCTGTATGATATGGGAAAGGCGCGGTTTGAGCAGGGGAACTGAGCTAGAGTTGAAATCTTTTGCTGTCACCAAAGCAACTGGCCAAAGCACGGGTTAGACGGACGTATTATGATGTATGAAAAGTGTCATTACGGGACACCAAATGTCTGACAATACTTAAAAAAGGCTAAGTGAAGCGATAGATAAAACAATACGACCCATTAGCTGAACAACGGTGGTGGTGCCAAGCGAATCACGCGATCATTCAGTACAACAGCATCACCCAGCCCACTGGACTACCGGCGGACACGGCGAGAGCTTGGATAGCAGGTCTATTCATATAGGTACACAAACTCATGGCGCCTGATAACAGCCGCACACCACACCACACCGCCACACTAAGCTTTAGGACCCGGCCCGTTCCAACCATAAGCACATGAACGTTGCTCTGTTCAACACAACACCGCCCTGCCATTCATGTGCCCCCCCCGTAACGCTAACCACGCCTGTCACCACTCTTCAACTCTTGACAGTCATTCGAGCAATCCACGTGTCATGGGAATGTCCCAGCCCATCAGCAAACGACATCGCCTCAGGGCCGTCATAAAGCAGCTCTGTCCCACGACCCTAGCTAGCACCACATCCCTTCCAGCCTCGAAAACAGACTGGCATATGACCATCGTACACAATTCAGCCCCATTTCGCCACCCGATTTCATAAGACCTAACAACCGCCGGCGTACGTCGCCGGCCGTAAGCTTCAATTAACCTGATTTGTAGCTCGGAAACACCCTGCCTGTGTTCACTAACAGTATCAGCTATCAGAGCTATCGGTTGCAGCGGGCTAGTTTCGCAGGCGGCACCTGTTTAGCACGGAGCCCGGCGCCGGCTTCAATCGACGGAATCTAATGAGATCTCTACTGCTCTCGACTGCCAAGTAAACTGCTCCGGCAACTAGCACACAGCGGTAGTCAACAGCAGGTCGGCTGGCACGGGAGCTCACGGTTAGAGGCGGAGAGCGGTGAGAGAAGGACGGAGAGAGAGACGGATTGGTGTGGAAAGGTGGAGGGAGCGAGAGACGGATAGGGACTGTTGGGAGATGGTAGAGACTGGAAAGAGAAGACAACAAATATAAGAGACAGTGAACGGTTGACGGAGAGATACGGACAGGAACGATGGCAAAAGACAAACAAAGCAGGTTCGGCCAAATCCATCGATCCTTAAATGAAGATACCATGTGGGCTTGTGGTGCCATGTGACTAGCGAAGGAATCGCAATACACCACACTGGCGATCACAACCACAAAGCAGAGCAGTTCTACGTCATATATGATAACTGTCAAGGCTCGTCGACATGCCGCATCAATCATGGCAGGAAGTTTCTGAATGTGGGCCGTGGACGGGCCACCGACTGACCCCATTTGCGCTAACAGTTATAGATCACAGGCGGACACATGATAGCCAGGTGGCGCCACGTGCTACAGAAAACTGACTCAGACGCAGCACCTGAGGCGTAATGAGATTCAGCGGAACTGTGAACTAGTTTTTAGCTGCAACTCCATATCTAAAAATACTCACGAAAAGATGAGGTGTACCATCATCAAAAACAAAGCAACTGGTTGCAAACATGCTTACTAAGACCAGCCCCAAGCCCTCTTAGCCAGCATGACCTCCACTCTAAAGGATCTGAGATCCCCTTTGTGGACACTTGCACTCCGCCGCTCCTCTGCCCACCCCAGCCGATCTACTCACAGGGTGCGAGGTTGTCCATGACCTCTGAGAGCTGTGTCATCTCGTCCCGGAGCCGTGCCCGCTGCCGGTCGTGGTTGGACGACTGGGAGCTGCTACTGAGCCTGTGGCAAAGAGGGGACGTGGTGGGTCAGTGAGGGGTTATCAAAGGGGACGTGGTGGGTCAGTGAGAGGTCATCAGAGGGGACCGGTGGGTCACTGACACCGTCATTGGTCACTGGTAAGGTATGTGATATGTATGGGTCACCAAAGCCAATAAGGAGTCATCAATATTCAGAGCACCACTTGACACGGTAGGGAGCCACGAATCATCAGTCGCAATGATACAGGATTGAAAGAAGTGGTTGAGGTGGAAATAAAATAAGCCATTTTGGGGTCACATCAGGAACAGGATCATATCATACGTTTGACTGTGTTTGTTTGTTTTGCCTACAGTCCGCTTAGAAAACGGAGAGGTCCACGGCGACCGACCAATAAATCACCACACCACAGCTAGCAACAGCAGGCTGACATCATAACTCGCCCATTCTCGGCGGCACAAAACACGCCAGATGCGGTGGCCGCGCTGCACAGCGCTCTGACGTCACACATTCCTAGTGTCTCCTGACGCACGGCCTATCCGCCGGCGTCGGGGCGACTTCTGCGCTATTCTGCAAACCAACCGTGCATTGGAGGGAGCGAGCCGCACAGTGTATTATCCCGGTTCTCTCGATATCGACGTAGATAGTGCACCTCGGGTTACCCACGGCGGGGTAACATAACGCCAGCTGGGTAACTCGATGCAGCGTAGAGGTTCAGTAACTATAACAATCGTTTTCCACAGCCTGTCGCTTCGTTTCCACCCTTCCGCACTGTCCGCCGCCTCTGAGCGCGCGCCTTGGACTGCCCGACCTGTTTTGCGGCCTGTGTACTGTGCGTGTCTTATCTCGCCTCGGCCGAAGCCCGGTCCCCTCCCCCTGGACCCGGGTCGTCAACCGCGCCACGACTCGGGTCTCCTCCCACCCCTCTGCCCCTCCCTCCCTCCACGTGCTGGCCATCCTCCGCTCCCTCTATTCGAGCCCCAAATCAAGCTAATAGGTGGGCCCTATTACTGATTAGGGTGTCTCATACCGTACGCTCCCCAGATCTGTTGTCCAGTATTGGCTGTTAATGGCCGTCTGCACCCAAATCGCGTTATCGTTCATATCCTGATCGATAACAAGACGCCAAAATCGCCAACGGAGCAGAATGTACGCGGTTATATAGGTATCCTGAGTGTTAGCAACGCACACGACGTTCGGCATGAACAGTGTTTTGTTCGCAGTTCCATAGCCTGCCGTGTCCGTCTGTCTGCTGTTTGCACTTCCCATCGGCCCGCCGACGCGGCGATTAGTGTTATGAGTTACGCCAGGTCCCCCTTCCTAGCGTCCGCACACACTGACGAACACTTCCCTTCCCCATGTCGCCTAACCCCCCCTCTCTCTCTCCCCACTCTCTCTCTCTCTCTCTCTTTCTCTTTCCTCTCCCTCCCTCTCTCTCTCCTCTCTCTCTCCCTCACTTTCCTCCCCGTCCGACGTCCGACTACGGGACGGACGGGCCCGTCCCACGGTCCCTCTCTTGTTTGTCGGTTTTCTGGGGCTGTAGCTTTATTACCGCAACGGCCGTCCAGAACCAATAGCACCACCGTGGCCACAGACCACCCTCACATCCACTTTCGCGTTTGACGAGCGTAAGACGGCGATAGTTGAAATTGACGTGTTTGACTGGCACCGCCATTGCGTCCTTTTTATTGACACCATCCGAAGCCGTGCTGCTGTCGATATGCATGGACCAGTGGACGTCATGCTGCTGGTGGCCTGGTGCCTGGTGCAAAACAGGGTCGCCAGGTGTCCTTAGGGTGTGTTATTCCCCAGCGACGGCAAAGTCCAAGTCGGCGCGGAGCCAAGCGTCTAAAGTCGACGCGGAGCCAAGCGTCTATGTGCGCCTGTTCGGCGATGGCCGCGCTGAGCGGCCGCAGTTCTATGCACACAGCATTGGTTAATGGTTTGCCCATCTCCTTATTCACTACCGCTTATAATTGCCATTGTTCCATAAATTTTTAATGGGTCAACATGGTTCAGGCATGTGGATGTGCCTCACCGATACGGTTCAGGCGTACCGGGCGTATAAATGAGCCCACATGGTTCACGCATGCGTGGCTTGGTGCTGCGTCGATATGGTTCACGCGTACCTGACGAACAGCGAGTTTGTAATGAGCAACATGGTTCAGGCATGTTGAATTGCCTCTCCGATACGGTTCAGGCGTAACTGGCGCATAAATGAGCCCACATGGTTCACGCATTTGTGGCTTGGTGCTGCTTCGATATGGTTCACGCATACCTGACGAACAGCGAGTTTTGTAATGGGTCAACATGGTTCAGGCATGTTGAAGTGTCTCACCGAAACGGTTCAGGTGGGTTCAGGCGTACCGGGCGCATAAATGAGCCCACATGGGTTCACGCATGTGTGGCTTGGTGCTGCGTCGATATGGTTCACGCATACCTGACGAACAGCGAGTTTTTAATGGATCAACATGGTTCAGGCATATTGAATTGTCTCCCCGATACGGTTCAGGCGTAACTGGCGCATAAATGAGCCCACATGGTGCACGCATGTGTGGCTTGGTGCTGCGTCGATACGTCGATATGGTTCAGACATACCTGGCGAACAGCGAGTTTTACTGTGTCAACATGATTCAGGCATGTTGAATTGCCGCACCAATACGTGTCAGAATACCGGACGCGTAGATGAGCCGAGATGGTTCAGGCATGTGTGGCTTGGAGCCGCGTCGATATGGTTCATGCATACTTTACGAACAGCTAATTTAACTGTCAACATGGTTCATGCATGTTGAATCGCCTCACCGATACGGGTCAGAGAACCGGGCGCGGAATCCAGCCGCCCACATGATTCAGGCATTTTTGGCTGAGGGCCGCGTAGATATGATTCATACATCACGACGAACAACGCAGTTAACTGTCAACATGATTCATGCATGTTGAATTGCCGCACCGCTACTGGTCAGGCGTCCGAGCGCCTAAATGAGCCCACATGATTCAGGCATGTCATGTGGCTGGGGGCGGCGTCGATATGGTTCATGCATACCTGACGCACAACGGATTTAACTGTGTCAACATGAGTTATGCATGTTGAATCGCCGCACCGATGCGTGTTAGAACACCGGGCGCATAAATGGGCCCGCATGATTCAGGCATGTTTGTTTGGAAGCTGCGTCGATATGGTTTAGACGTACCTGACGCACGACGGATTTAACTGTCAACATGATTCATGCATGTTGAATCGCCTCATCGATACGGGTCAAAGAACCGGCGTATGTGAGCCCACATGATTCAAGCGTGTGTGGCTGGGAGCCACGTAGATATGGTTCAGGCATGCCTGACGGGCAACGAATTTAGCTGTGTCAACATGATCATGCATGCTGAATTTCCGTACCGATACGGATCAGAGAACCGGTGTGGGGAAGCCCACATGATTCGGGCGTGTGTGGCTGGGAGCCGCGTAGATATAGTTCAGGCATACTTGACAAACAACGAATTTAGCTGTGTCAACATGATTCATGCATGTTGTATTGCCGCGCCGATACGTGTCAGAATACCGTGCACATAGATGAGCCCACATGATTCAGGCATGTGTGGCTGGGAGCCGCGTCGATGTGGCCTCACGCCGATATGTTTCGGCATACCGGTTGCATGAATGATCCCACGTAATTCAAGCGCGTGTGTCTGGTAGCCGCGTCGGTACGGTTCAGGCATACCTGACTAATAGCGAATTCTAACTGGGTGAACATGATTCATGCATATTTGGCCAATCGATTCTTCACGCCGATAAGGTTCAGGCATAACGGGGTACGGTTCAGGCATACCTGACGAGCAGCAAATTTAACTGGGTCAAACTGGGTCATGCGTGTTTGATAGATCAATTTCTCACGCCGATATGGGTCAGGCGGACTGGGCGCACAAATGAGCTCACGTGATTCGGGCGCGTGTGGCTTGTAAGCCGTGTCAGTACGGTTCAGTCATATCCGACGAACAGTGATTGAACTGGGTCAACATGGTTCATGCATGATCAATCGCTTCCTCGCGCCGATATGGGTCGGGCATTCCGGGCGCTTAAATGGGCGCTGCGTCCATTGTCCTCCCTGACTGCGTGAGGGGTTATCCTGTGCAAATAGCTCCCGACCGACTGCTTGCGTCGTGGGTCCCTTACCAGTGTTATCGGACAAACGGTCAACCACTCGTCCCCACAGAGGTGACCCCTGCGTCCCTCCCGCGCCTTCCCCTCCCCCTCGTGAACTGGCGGTGGTTTTACACGCCGCGACGCCCGGCGGCGGTGTCACGACGTGACGTAACGGCTCTATTACTGCTGACGGCCGAGTGTTGGCCGCCCGACCGGTGGGCGCGCGCAGCGGAATGGGTGGGGGAGCCCCGTCCGCGGAAGTACAGCTGGCACTCCCCGGCGGCCATCACAGCGACAATGCTTTGATGTGTGCATTTGTTCTGATGACGTCACCCGGCACCCAACGAATAGCGTCATTGGCTCCATCTTAGTCAGGCGGGGCGCCGCGTCGATATGGTTTAGACATACCTGACGAACAGCGAATTTAACTGACAACATGATTCATGCATGTTGAATCGCCGCATCGGTACGGTTCAGGCGTACCGGGCGCATAGATGAGCCCACATGGTTCAGGCGTTTGTGACTTGGCGCTGCGTCGATATGGTTCAGGCATATCTGACGAACAGCGGCTTTTACTCTGTCAACATGAATCAGGCATGTTGCATTGCCGCACCGATACGGTGCAGGCGTACCCGGCGCATAAATGAGCCCACATGGTTCAGGCATGTGTGGCTTGGCGCTGCGTCGATATGGTTCAGGCATACCTGACGAACAGCGAGTTTTACTGTGTCAACATGATTCATGCATGTTGAATTACCGCACCGATACGGTGCAGGCGTACCCGGCGCATAGATGAGCCCACATGGTTTAGGCATGTGTGGCTTGGCGCTGCGTCGATATGGTTCAGGCATATCTGACGAACAGCGAGTTTTACTGTGTCAACATGATTCATGCATGTTGCATTGCCGCACCGATACGGTGCAGGCGTACCCGGCGCATAAATGAGCCCACATGGTTCAGGCATGTGTGGCTTGGCGCTGCATCGATATGGTTCAGGCATATCTGACGAACAGCGAGCTTTACAGTGTCAACATGATTCATGCATGTTGAATTGCCGCACCGATACGGTGCAGGCGTACCCGGCGCATAAATGAGCCCACATGGTTCAGGCATGTGTGGCTTGGCGCTGCGTCGATATGGTACAGGCATATCTGACGAACAGCGAGTTTTACTGTGTCAACATGATTCATGCATGTTGCATTGCCGCACCGATACGGTGCAGTCGTACCCGGCGCATGAATGAGCCCACATGGTTCAGGCATGTGTGGCTTGGCGCTGCGTCGATATGGTTCAGGCATATCTGACGAACAGCGAGTTTTAATGTGTCAACATGAGTCATGCATGTTGCATTGCCGCACCGATACGGTGCAGGCGTACCCGGCGTGTATAATGAGCCCACATGGTTCAGGCATGTGTGGCTTGGCGCTGCATCGATATGGTTCAGGCATATCTGACGAAAAACGAGTTTTTCAGTGTCAATATGATTCATGCATGTTGAATTGCCGCACCGATACGGTGCAGGCGTACCCTGCGCATAAATGAGCCCACATGGTTCAGGCATGTGTGGCTTGGCGCTGCGTCGATATGGTTCAGGCATATCTGACGAACAGCGAGTTTTACTGTGTCAACATGATTCATGCATGTTGAATTGCCGCACCGATACGGTGCAGTCGTACCCGACGCATAAATGAGCCCACATGGTTCAGGCATGTGTGAATTGGCGCTGCGTCGATATGGTTCAGGCATATCTGACGAACAGCGAGTTTTAATGTGTCAACATGATTCATGCATGTTGCATTGCCGCACCGATACGGTGCAGGCGTACCCGGCGCATAAATGAGCCCACATGGTTCAGGCATGTGTGGCTTGGCGCTGCGTTGAGGCATATCTGACGAACAGCGAGTTTTACTGTGTCAACATGATTCATGCATGTTGAATTGCCGCACCGATACGGTGCAGTCGTACCCGGCGCATAAATGAGCCCACATGGTTCAGGCGTGTGTGGCTTGGCGCTACGTCGATATGGTTCAGGCATATCTGACGAACAGCGAGTTTTACTGTGTCAACATGAATCAGGCATGTTGCATTGCCGCACCGATACGGTGCAAGCGTACCCGGCGCATAACTGAGCCCACATAGTTCAGGCGTGTGTGGCTTGGCGCTACGTCGATATGGTTCAGACATATCTGACGTACAGCGAGTTTTACTGCGATATGGGTCAGGCAAACCGGTCGCCAAATGAACCCGTGTACCTGACGAACAGCGGATTTAACTGGGTCAACATGGTTCAGACATGTTGGTTCTCCGCTCTGTGTTACTGTGACATGGACGACGAGCCGGTATTCATACCCAGATGGAGCGGGTGGTATTGTATCAGTTATTCACTGTCATTGACTCTGGACACACACATCTGCCATGTGCGTCTCTGCACAACGGTCTATCCCACTGGCATTGATTCGTTCACAACATCAGCATAATCCATTCGCTTGACTCTTCGGCGAGTCAGCCATGCAGGCAGCAGGCTCCTTATATGACTAGTATCGCTAGCACGCTAGCCTGACTTACCGGCCATGTCCGTCTCCCTTGGTCCCCCTCTGCTGAGCACCAGGTACTCTGTCGCTCCACAAACCTGTCTCCCGGCCTTGTCTACTTTTCCTGCTCGCTCGTTTTACAGCGCTCTCGACGCTCGATTCCCACTCTCTCGCTTTGTCCGTCACCTCTGCGACCGCACAATCGTTTTCCACAGCCTGTCGCTTCGTTTCCACCCTTCCGCACTGTCCGCCGCCTCTGAGCGCGCGCCTTGGACTGCCCGACCTGTTTTGCGGCCTGTGTACTGTGCGTGTCTTATCTCGCCTCGGCCGAAGCCCGGTCCCCTCCCCCTGGACCCGGGTCGTCAACCGCGCCACGACTCGGGTCTCCTCCCACCCCTCTGCCCCTCCCTCCCTCCACGTGCTGGCCATCCTCCGCTCCCTCTATTCGAGCCCCAAATCAAGCTATTGACAGACAGGGAATCATGGCACAGCTGGTAGATGAATAAATAAGGCAATACAGCAATACCATGGCCACATGCGCTAGAGAATTCACAGTAACGTCAGGTTCAAACTCCTAAATTAGCTTGCGACAACCCTAGAGCCCACAAAGGCACCATAATAATGGGGACTCCAGAGAACGCAGAGTAAGTGTTGAGCCTACAGCTACTAGAAAAGTAAGCCGACATCGACGGCACCTCGGACGCCATACACCGCACCGCAGAGGCTTGTAGCCGCACCGGCGGTCAGCCAGGGTGTGTTAGTGGTCGGCGCACCCCCATAGGGAGCAGCACCCCACCCCACCACCGTGTCCGCATTCCTCTCCAAGCAACACCCGAGATCTTCTGACGCCATGGTGGTGGACGATAAATAGTGGGGGTCTCGGACAGGCAGCTTTGACACTACGCTTCGATCAAAATGTTGTTTTGGTCATTGCGGATGAATGGTTCAGAACCTGGCTTGAAGACAAACCCGGTGTCAATGCATGCATTTTAATAAACATAACTTCGCCGCTCGAAGTCCAGCTCCAGCTTACAACAAACAAAGACTCATGAGACTAGTAACAAGCTAAACTGAGCACCCCTTGCTAACCCTTTAACACTAATTCTCGGCAATATAGTGGCCGCATCTCGCTATGCTGAGCCCCGCTCTGCCCAAGGCCCCTTGGCTGTAACTCATATGCACTCCACCGAGGGATGCTGCCTGCGCAGCAGAGGCATTGCCGGCATTCCTTCTCTGATGTCCAAGCTAACTCCGCAGATACCAGTGTTGACCGGTGGATAACGGACTCTGCGCTCTTCCGCAGAGGGAAGGTCGAGGCGGAGGTGGTTGGAAAGACAGAGAAGAGACGGGCGGAAAGACAGAGATGGGTGATGAAGGTGGACGGTCGACGACGATGGATAGAAGACGGTGGTGGAATTTGGATGCTTAATAGGTTAATACAAAAAAAGATGGTATATATTGGGCTGTCATGTCCCGGCGTTGTCTCGCTGGCATTGCGTGGCTTTTATCGCCCCTGTCACAGCCCAGAACAATAGACAGCCAGCCACGGGCGACAGTGCCGGAACCCAACATTGACCGGATGTTGCGCGTCACGCATCACTCGCCGACTGACCGACCACCCAAAAACAAACCGATAGACCACCGATACCGGTCCACAATCGCCGCCACTGACCAATAACGAGCCACCACTACCCCTTACCCCGTCGGCTCCCCGCAGTGAAAGGCTTGTTCCACCCCGCGGTGCGCTGGAATTTCCGCCGGAGCGGCGCCGGGACCCCACCTGCGGCATTGTTTACATCACACAGCGGTCCGCCGACGGTCCGCGCGACGCGTGCAAGGCGTCTCTATCGGCCCGGAGACACCGGGGGTGCCGGAGACAAACAACCGCACCTGGCGGGTCTCTCTCTCTCTCTCTCTCTCTCTCTCTCTCTCTCTCTCTCTCTCTCTCTCTCTCTCTCTCTCTCTCTCTCTCTCTCTCTCTCTCTCTCTCTCTCTCTCTCTCTCTCTCTCTCTCTCTCTCCCTCTCTCCCGCCGTTTCCATCACCTGCCGCTGCTGTATGCTGTTCGAGTCGGAACCCGTCCTGAATGGATTGTGGAGCGCCGGCACCACATAGCGATCCGTAATGACTCTCCGTGGCTGTCAATGGGTGTGGAGTGCCGGGCCGCCTCAATAGTTTGCCGGTGCGATTCAGCCGCTCTATGGCGTGTGGAATATTAATTGATGTATCAGCAGGGTGTCGGCACCTGGCCCGAGGGGCAGACCCCGAGGGACAGATTGGGTGCCTCGGACGGGTGACGGGACGGCTGGTCAGGTGGCTGGTAGCCGACTGACAGCGCATAACGATGAGAGGTGATGTCATATCGCATACGGTCAGATCACGCGGGCTAATACACCCAGGACATCCTTGGTCATATGCTACGCAGTGGATATGCTAATGTCAGCAAATCCTGTCCTATCCATCCTGGGACATTACTTAGTCCTACTGCAGTCTACAGCCTGCATTGCCTCATATCCTGTCTGATCCCCTACTACTCCTTCCTTGATCCCTCTCTAGTCCCTGCTAACCCCTAGGTGCGCGGCGTTGTCCTCCCACCTGTTCTGGACGGTGTTGGGCTGCTGCGACTGCTGCTGTATCTGTTGTATCTGCTGTATCTGCTGCTGCTGTATCTGCTGTATCGGCGGCGGCGGCGGCTGCTGCGGTACGGCCGGTTGCTGACCAGGCAGGGGAGGCAGCGGCCCGGTGCGTGCCCTGCTCTGTGGCGGTGTGTCTCGCGCCGAGCCCAGACTGCTGGTGTCGGACGGGGGCGGGCCGTGGTGACGGGATCGGTCCACCTCGGGGGTGGCCGGCTCGCCCGGAACGGAGCTGTCGTCCTCGTCAGAACTCGAGTCTGCCAGAGGGGAGAGAGAGGGGGGTTAGATACCGAGTATAACACGGAAGTTTATCGACCGTCCCACCTTGAGTTCATTGGAGAAGACGGTGTCAGACACACAATACACCAGGGAGAGGCTGGGCTGAGCAACAGCGAAATACATACAGTGTGATTGAACTGGAACCCACCCCGGTAATCAGATTGGCCAGCATACGTATAATATAAACGGTGATGCTTTCGGTTGCGACTCACTTTCCACACAATCGATGGGATGCTAGATTTCTCAGGCACTACAGAGAAACCACAACCATACGCCGATTTCAACAGTAAATCCTGGCCACCAGCCCACCTGTCCCCCTCTCCGCACCGCACACAGCACGGAGAACAACTGATCGACAAAACACCGCACGTGAAACGGTTCACAAGGTCGCACCGGCCGGCGGACGCGGAACACTGGATCAACCACGGCACAAAACACCGCAAACACTGCAGAATGGAGCACACAGGATGGATCAGATGAGAGATTGGATGGGATCGCATTGGATTCAATACGTGCTGAACGTCACGGTCATACCACGCGACCGTTTTGGATAATGGGATCATTTTTCACAGGGCATCAGCCGCACAAATAAACCAGCACAATGCACAAAAACACGCATACATATGCATACAATCACTGTCATATCGTCAGAACAATGACGCAGAAAAAAAAAAACATTACAGACTACCGATCATATATCATAGGCCAAACAAATACACAAAGGCTTTGTCACACCGATACGAAAAACAAACGTACTCATCGGTACAAATAAAATAATCATCTGAACGCACTCACAGATGGCGGTTCTCTAAACCAGGTCTGCCACTCAGACAATGGAGAAATGCTGAAGTCACGTCACCCGAAGCCCTCACAGCTCTCCAAGACACTAGGCACCGTACGACGAACGTTCTCGATCCCATCATACCCACCGGCTCCGCACTTGACCCCACCAACGTCCGGCACTGTCCCCTCACTGGGCCGTCCGCACCGAGCCCGGTCACCAGCCATAAGAACCACTGTCGTGGCGCCAGACACGGCATATCCACGCAGCCAATCAGGACCACTGTGGCTGCAGAGGACTACAAGGAGATGGTGTGAGATCACTTCAGCGACTTCTGCATTGGGATGATCAGGCAGTCAGGGTCATGTCCTGCTCAATAAGGTTTGAATCGGGGTGGATTGAACGTGGGCGGCGGACGGGGCAGCTCATAGCTGATAATTGACAGTGGAATGTGCAACAGACTCCATATGGTGAATCATTGAGCGTGGGCGCGAGGGCTGTGTGGACGGATTTATAATTGGAATGTGGACGGACAACTATGAACGACAGGCAGTTGTCGATAGATGGCTAACTTCATGTAGTGGACAGTGGACTCTAATTTACTGGCCGTCCATCGGGCTGTAAAAGGCCACTGGACGGCGGACGGTGGACGGGTGAGGTTGGAAGAGACAAAAACAGCGCCTTGACGACACGGTTTCCGTCGGCTGCGCGCGTGAGTCATGGCCTGAACCGTGGCGCCGTCTGAGGAGTAGCCTTGGACCAACGTAAACTTGATGCTAATTTGAAGTTCGGGCCCAAATGGCTTATGCAACCGCTTGGATTCGTATCTCACAAACACTGCTTCAAAAGTTACGGCTGACAACTTCTTTCTAAAAGAGTAGGGCCAGGATCACTAAACGTGGACCACTTTCAAACCAAATGATAAATTGATAGGACGGCTGGACTGTGCCCAAGGCTTGCCTACGAATGAAACATCACGTCCACGCCACAATACGAATATCAATTCAAACACTGCACTGCAAGACTTTAGCTACCAACGAATAAAATGAAACCAGCACCAGCCTGCCATCTCACTGATACAAGCCTGGAAATCCCCAAGCATCCATGTCCGGTGGCGTTTCTCGAAGAACGCTCGGGCGTCTGGTGTCCCTGACGAGACAGGACGCGACCGGAGCATTTATTTGGGTTTCGTGTCTCTCGAGCGGCGTCTGACTCAGACCCTGTGTATTTATCCGGACTGACAGAAAAACGGCGGCATGCCTTCAGCGAAGAACACCACGCCAGCACACCCACGCGGCTCGTCTCGAAACTCTGAGAGATCACTCGGCGCTAACAAACTTGGCGCAGCAACTTTAAATGGAGGATTGGCGTCAGACGCTCTCTCCGCCTCGCCAGACGCGTCCAGTGCAGACTGGGGGCTCCAAGGACGGCACGGCGATCATGTCTGACTCGTCTGAGGGCTGTGGCGTGGGTCGCCGACCTCCAGCTGGCACACCCGGCCGGCCGTTCCGGTTGGGAGGAGCGCCGATGATGCTGTCTGAGCGATGACGCTGATTTGCCATCGGATGACTCACACATCAGTTTTGTCGTCACGTCATCGCACACTGGTTACACGACGGCTCACCAGCGGTACTGAGGTAGCTCGATTCAACGTCACACGGAGTGTAACATCTGCTGTGGGTCGTGGGAAGTGGTCACCCTCTGCGCTGCAGCCCTCCCCTCGCCGGATGCCAGCATTCAGCGGGGCGTCGCGCACTTACGCGAGCCATGACACACCAGGGAGGACGTGAGGCGTCGGTCGCTGCGTGCTGCGTACAGTCGCTGATAAGCCTACATGGAACGCTACCGTGGCGTATAAACTGAACACCGTCGTATAAACGAAATATTACCAGGAGCCAGCGCGGGAAGCGATTTCACAACACACTGTCAGGGGCAGGATCTCCGAACACATCAGCAATGACAAAGAAACAGCTGGAACGCAGCAAAAGGCCATCAGACCACTTGAGTGTGTCATTTGAAATTCAAAGCACCCCATGCCTCCGGGACATCCTACTGTGCTGGGTTCTGGGACCGAGCGCAGCGCACAGCTGAGCGCGGACCGAGTTCATAAAATGCAGGCCATCCATCATAGCCATTCGTCTTCGTTGCGACGCGATGTCCCCTGTCCATTGTGTCAAGGACTCGCTCCAGTACAAGGCCGTCGCCTCTGTCCAGTCGGTCCCAGATTTGTCCATAATTATTGGTGTGACGGTACGGAGGACCGTGGTCACGACAGCTGAATTAGGCAACCAGTGGGAACGGACTTCTAGCAGATTAAATGCGCGCGCGCAGTAATTGCACTACACGCGACAGAAAACTCCTTACAACCCACAAAAAGCGTATAAAACGTCCGAATGGAGCCACAAAGACAACTCTCACAATCACCAGCCCAGATTTCCCGACAAGGATTAAATGCGAGCACGCAACAACGAATGCACGACACGCAGCATAAAACGCCTCACTGAGGACAAAAGTACGAAACAACCTTGACTGGGACCAAAAGTCTTCACCAGCTCAAGTCATAAAGTTAATCCAACGCCATCGTACGCTTAGCAATGCTTCAAAATGACCAACCAATGCATTGCTGAGGTTTGTGGGCGAGCCCTTCAGCTCATGTAGGTTATAAAGGCAGGCTAGCTCACCGTTGTCCGAGTCCCTCCGACGCCGCCGCTCGGCCTCTGGACTGCGAGCCATCACCGACTGTCGTTTGGAGGGCATCGGTAGCTGCTTGGGCCGGCTCTGCATGGCCGCGATGGCCTGCTGCACGGCTTCCTGACGCACCTCTGCGGGGGAGAAACAACATCATCAGCATCACCGTCAGCATCAGAGACGCACGCCAGGGTAGGATAGTGGGGCGCAGGGCCAGGACACGTCACTGGGGCACATGTCTGATGTCAGGATACATAACTCAATCAAGACTCAATCAAGGTACTTGAGGTAGACATTATTCAGAGCAGAACAGGACAGGACTCAGTAGAACGGTAATGTTCACGACAGGCGACGACGGAACGGGGCTCAGTAACGAGAAAAGATCACCAGTTTACAACATGGAAACACAAAAACAACAAATAGGCCTCATTGGACGAATAATAGCATGTGGTAACAAAAGCGTCAAAAAAAAAAAAAAAAACAGCGGACGCCTAAATAGGTAAGGTGGCACACACGAACTGAAGGCGATTAGCACATCTTCAGGAATGTGCACAGCGTGCTAGTTGACAGGTAAAAAAAAACGTGATTATTTCACTAACAGGTGCCATGGATGGTCGCTGATTCTCCATCCTTCTCTTCTTTCGACTGTCTCGCGCTGTCTTTTCTCCTCTACACATGTTCCTTCCTTCCTTTTGCACGCTCGAGTAAAGAACATGAGAATCACGTCGGTTCTTTTCAACGAAAAAAGCAGACAAGGGAACAGCTGCCACCGCTTGTGCCAACCCAGTGTAATCCCGTCCTATGAACCAACAACGCCCCGCCGTACAAAAATGGCAACAAAAACACAATTCATCAATCCAAGGCGCCGCCGTCCCAGGCGTTTTCTGGCAATATGACAGGCGACACTCTGACCGCTGAATGCCGGCACTATCGCTACATGGATCAACATCCGTTTTCTGAATGTTATCGCTTTCATGTCACATGTAGAAACAAATGTCGGCTAAGTCCGCTCTTTTCCGCGGCCCAGAGCACCAAAAAGGGACCACAGACAGCGCCAGCAATTGGACCCGACCAAGCTAAATCATCAACACTAGCACAACACAACGCCCTGTCGTGCCCATAGCCCTTGCCATCGAGCTTGCTCGGCTCAGAGTCGGCAGTCATCCTTTAGATAAGGCTACCTCAGTCCAAATAAGGCCCACTTGCTAACGTCATACCACACAAGATGACATGCAACATGTGCCAGCATCGAATCTGAATCCGAAACGAGACTTTTTCACGCGGCAGTCGTGGCATTTTTCGTCGAGCTGCCGGATGTCTCGTATGCACAACATGAGTCAGCGACAACTGAACACAAGCCTCATTAGAATAGGCCATCAATCAGGCAGCATTACGGTGCTGACGGAGCTTACACCCCGGAAAATGACACCACAGGCATCGGCTGACGGTGTTACGCAGCTCGCCACCACATTATTTACAGCAATACGGTGACAGAATGGAACGAACAGTGAACACTTGTCAGACACGTGAGAGCAAATCGCACTATGTGCGTTGCAATGAAGCCAACACGGTGAAGCCAAGCCAACACGACCATGGCCATTCAGGAGCCTAGTTCGAAGTGTTCCGGGATCGGAGAATGAATAGTCATCTATGTCTATCTCTGTTCGTGATCTGCAATATCAACTCTCGGGTCACGCTCTCAAACAGGAGTCACGCATCACCAGTCGTGAAGTCGCACTCTCATAGGGCTTCTGTCACGTCACGCAGCTTGGTTTGTATCCAAAATAATTCAGATAATAGCCTCCCACACTATTCTACCTGACATCACATCGATATGCGGCACCGGGAACACTAACCACCATCATACCTAGCCTGTAGCGCTACGATACATGGCGTTAAACACACATCAGCCAAGCCGCTACACCGAGCGCCAAAACAACATCCCACCCAACACACACAAAGAGACAAGGCGACAGTGTCGGACCCTGCAGACACCCTACCCTACCGACCACACGTACCGCCGGCAGACACAGGGCGCGTGCAGCACGGGCGGATCGCACCCAAACAGCGACCAAATACAGACAAAGCACGTACAGAACACGGGCCAAACATAGCAACGACAAAATATACACTGTCATATTTCTGTCTGCACCAGCCGACACAGCGACAAAGCGAACAGACAACTAGGGGGAGGGAGAGTTGAGTGCGGCATCCTAATGACTAACAGGTGCCACGTCCTGCAAATCCATGAAAAGGTTCCACGCAACCCAGGAATCCTCCCATCATCCAAAAAAGCTCATATCATGATGGTCACATAGAGGTTGGCATTTTCCTCATTGACTGGCTAATATTCCACCTAAAAATGATGCCTGATAAGTTGCGTGAGCCCACCGCAACGTCCTTGCAATAAAACATACCCAAGATGTTCAAACACGGTCTTCAATCAAACACCATGTCCGAAGCACCTTTTATGCACTTCACTCACCTGAGTGGTACCGAGATTCATTCCTAGTGACTCGTCGCTGTGCCCGCCGTCGTGCTCGGCTGCTGGGACTGGCGGCTCCCTCGCCTGTGGACCGACAGAATACAGTCAGCTTTAGCATACTAAGACACGCCGCTAACGTCAGACAGTGCACCATACACAAAACGGCGCGGGGCGGAGCGTCAGGGCGGGGGCAGGGAGCGGGAGGGGGACCACAGCCGTGCACCGACCGTCGGAATGTTTCCAGTTGGGGTACAAGGCCACGCGGGCGGGCGGGCGCGACGCCGGCGGACGTGAGCCGGCCACGGCGTGCACAGGGCCGTGCGTGCACTGTGCACTGTGCAGCGGCGGAGCGCGGCGTCACATGACATCATCAGACAGCGCCTGTCTGTCGTCAGAGGGCGGCGGGCGAGACAGGCCGGCCGCCGGTGGTCTGGCGACGGACGAACGGTAGGGCACATGGGCAGACGGACAGACGGGCGAACGGACAGGCGGATAGAGAGATCGGAAAGAAAATACGGTCGGATGGACAGGCAGACGGACAGACGGGAGGACAGGCTAACAGACAGACGGACGGATGGACGGACGGACGGTCAAACAGACAGACATAAAGACGATCAGAAGGAAACACGGACAGACTGGTACAGACAGGACGGACGGAGGGACAGACGGGAGGACAGACATGTCGGTCACGCGGGCAGTCAGACAGGCCAGTCACCGGTGGCCCACCAACTATCGAACGCCGGCGCACTACGGTCCCCAGTACCCGACCACGCCCCTCACTTTTCACTACCCAGAGACGGTAGGCGGGGCCGGCGTCGTGACCAGCCGGTGTGACGGACGCGCCGGCTCCGGACGGACAGGCGCGGCGCCATCACCCTGATGAGGCCCGTGTGACCGGCGGCCGTTCCTCACCATCGACGCGTCGGTGCCGACACGAGAACGGGCCGCCGCTACGTGTGCCCAGACAATGACGGCTCACGTGAGCACGTCAAATTGCACATGTGTGCATGTCTGTCTGTACTGACATCCAAAGGCTAACTCTCATTAGTCTTTGTTCCCCGACTTCTTCATCGTCGAAGAGAAACCATTTTGATTTACCCACATATTTGAAAGGCACTTTTCAATTGGCATTGAGTTTCCGTTAGAAATTATGCTTCCGCACGGCAAGGTTACGGCGTGGAGTTGGTAACACGGCGCGTGAGAGATAGCGCGGTACGCCGCGAAGTAAGATGCAGGGTACGGCGATGATATGGGGCGCTGCAGCACGAGGTACAGCGTGGGGTACGGCGCTGGGGGCGGGGTACGGCGCTGGGAGTGGAACGGCGCGGACGCCGGACGGCGGCGGAAGCAGCTCTGGGAACGCCGCCACCGAGCCGTGAGAGCCGCCTGGCCCGTCCGTCCTGACCACGCTGTGACGCATCCGCCGCCGCCCCGTTCGCTGGACACCGCACCGCGCTGGCAGTCTGCAGATAGCGCTCGACGCCGGGAAACTCGGGGTGACACTCGGGCTGATATTAGAGACGACACTCACAATGACACTCAGACGACAGCCAAAACAGAGCATGCAGCCACTGCAGCGTGCGCGCGGGCCGGGCAGCCGGGCTAGCGCTAGCGGGGACGGGCGTTGGCCAGACGGGAGCGAACGCGGCCACATTGTCAGATCGAGCTAACGGCAACAAAACCAAACCGAACCAAAGACAGAAACAAAAGGTTGAACGCACACAACGAAGACACGAAACGCGTCCATGGGACGACACAATGCGGGAACTCACTAGACATAAGGACAAATTCACCAGCTGCTGTGCTGGCAAAATATGTTAGGTAAAACAACCGAATAGACGATCAACCATCAAAATATAAGATAAAGAACGACAAACCAAGATCTCAATCCAAAACAAACGCAAAAAACGTCGACAAAAACAAAACTGCACATAAAACTCTGGCAGCGTAGCAGGCAGCGGGAAGGGATGCTCTCCCAGCCACGTAGTTATGTGCACCCATAACTACGGGTGCAGCATACCAGCTCAGAACCACAGCTCATCGCAGCGACTTTGGCTGCAGTTCAGGCCCAGCTGCAGCTGCCGGCGGGACAATCCAGCTAGCGGGGAGGGGGCATGCCGTCCCGTCAGCCGGGCAGGGGAGGCGGCACGGCACTAGGACCGACAGACGGACACACAAACACCTCCCACCTGTCGGGGTCTTCTGTTGGCGGCTCTGACGCGGCAGCGGCACCGGAGGACTACTGCTCTCTGTCGGAGCCGGCACGCACAACACACACGGGAGAGGTTAGTGGGCGGACCTAGCGCAGCATTGTGTTAGCCAACGAACGTACACAGTTCCCACACGTATAGTGACCACTGCCCACTACAGACACATTTTTACATTATTCAATATATCCGGTGCCTCATTCCCTGAGGCAGCCAGTCCTCCCCAAGGAATAGTGCTCATCACCACACACTTCCAATGATGGAAAATACCTAATGTCTATGTCCCCACAAAGCCCTCAAACTGTCCAGTGTTCAGTGCTCATCGCCATCACGCTTTCAAAGCGTGAAGCATGTCTGATGCCTCTGCCCCTCCCCAATCAACTTCCCGGACTGCCCATCACCTGTCTCTTGTTCAGGTCAGCTCACCAGCCAGACAGGTAGGTGAAACTACCGCCGAAAAACCCACAATAACTCACCCACCAATTATGTTTCTCCAGTATGATAGAGACGGATCGAGCGCGAGTTATAACGATGCCGACACGGCCGGTTTTTGGCCGGCCACAAAAACCTCGTCACAACCATGGCCCGTATCAGTGCGAGTGACACTGACACGACGTACGACAGGTAAGCCACTGCAAATCCGCAGCCGTCACCAGCCCAAGAGGTCAACGCCCTACGGTTGTGACGCAGACAGTCACTCAGTGAATAAGGCTATTGCTTAGCAACAATTCAGGCGAGTTGCGTGCCTTCAGAGGTGTCTTACTTCGGTGACATTGCCGGTGTATCTTCTGTAAAGCAGACCCATTGCGTGGACAAGACCCACCTCTCCAAATCTCCCCGTCCAACCTCGTCAGTCGTCGGATTAGTATTCGGGCCACAGGGTCGGTAGCAGGCCCGCGGCTCCGTGCCATGCCTCCACTTGATCCAAGCTGGAGCAGGCAGCTCAAAACACCGCCCTCTAATTGACCGTCCATGTTGCCTCCATCAGTCACCCGGGAGTGGACAGAATAACGATAGATGCGGTGACAAATGGATACACCGTGACGGGAGACGTGACGGCTAGACAATTTGTCATAGCCTGCAGCGTATGCTTGCACACCTGGGAGGCAGCAGAAAAACTGACGTGGATACAGGGCAACTGCTCCAAAGTAAGAAAATGCGGCCACTCCTTTCCCTTCATTTTGAACTCGCGCACTGACCACCTTTATCACCACGCCCATTCCCCGCCAGCTTCTCCCCTCATATTGGTGACGTTCGACAGGTAAACAGTCTGCCCCTCCTGGCACTACCGCCCTACATCCATCCATCAGCACAAATGGTGTCGTGTCCATACGCAAATGACGTGCACATACACTCTCTAACGGTTTGGGCTGCGTGACGTGACATGACCGGTCGTCGGATTCCTCGGTCGTCACGTCAGCACCTCAGCAGCTGCGGCTAAAGGCAACAACCAGCTCAGCACTCATCCCAGTGCGCAGCTCAAAGTCCAGCTCAGCACCCAGCTCAGCGCACATTCCAAACTAGGCACGGCGACGACAGGACGACCTTTGGAACCATTTCATCCGTGCAGGTGCACAGGATGAGTTATGGATAAGCTCATCTTACATAACATGTCTCCAAGTAAAACTTGCTTGCCTGCCCAACAGCCCTTGAGACAAAATTGACGAGATAATATGAAAGAAGAAACACAACCGACATTACATACTGTAGGCGTCATACAGCGACCGTTACCGTGCAGAGACCACCGACTCCCAGCGGCACTCCACCATGCACATAACCTGCGTCCACGGCCGTCACCCAAATCGGTCCGGACAGCCGTCCGTGCATTCCTGGCAGTCCCTGACACAGCGGTGTGGCGGCTGACATCACAATGGCAGGCGGTCGGTGCACGACAATGCCCCGACCGACACGACTGGCCACTGGGAGTGGGTCGGGGAGCGCCAGACAGTGGTGTGTGCCGCCGGTCGGGGTCACTTCCGACATGACACGTCACGGTGACGTGATGGCATGGATGGTAGGAGGTCAGATGCCTACTGGCATGCATACCAGACGCATCGTAATTCGGAGTAAAAGTGATCATATGTTGACGGAGTGCTTTTACAGTTCCTGTTCCTCATATTTTGCTCATGAAATTGAAGGGGTCACGGTTTCAGTCCTTTGAGCCTATATCAGCCCAGATTGGCAGTCTCCAGTGAACGACATTGGTTCGACGGGAGATCCATTCGACTGGCTCCTCCCTGACAGCCGGGTAGTCAGCAGCCGTGTATCTCGGACAGACTCCCCGCCGAGTCGTCCCGTTCAGACGTCCCACCGACGGCCATGTCATGACGCCAAGGACCGCTCCACGATTCACCGCACGGCGGCGCGGCACCATATTTGTCCGAGCACCCGCACGCCGACTTCAGGTCAGGTGCGTCTGTGATGACCGTCCATTCACCGGTACAAATCGACCGTTCAGGGGACGAGCCAGATCCGGCCGATGGCCGCACGTCCTGCTGAGATCCATCTCGCGAGATCCCGCTGCGATCCAGACGGGGGATCTGCCTCAAATGGACAGGGATCGATGGCAAACGGAGGTGGTCTGTGCATGGATCTCCGGATGCCAATGAGCATAACAACTTCCGATGAGGGAAGACAATCAGCGATGCATGGCCATGCGAATGAATGAATGGATAAATGAATGAATAAACGTACCCAGTGATGGACGATTCGCAGCAGGTAGCAATAGAATCCTAGCAAAGCTAACCAAACTCAATGCAAAAGCTGATGAGTAGCATGCCAGTGTCAGAACATTCGATCTTCAGTTAGTGCGTGAGCCCAATCCAGAGTTCCAAATAGGGCATCCGCTCAATCCTGGCTTCAGTCCACGCCCGTGCGCCCGGGAGAGCCGCCAAAGTTGGCGTTCGGTTTACGGTCGGCCGGCTAGTGCCACTCTCGCCCAATCAGCTGACGCTACTCGGCCAAATCAGCTGAGGCCGGCAGAATACGGGCCGCGGGGGTGGGACGCTCCAATCGGGACCAGTGCCGCCGGGTCTGAGCCACCCACGGTCAATACAAACTAACTGCGAGATGCTGCGTCCCAGCGGGCCCAGGCGGCGGAAGCAGCCGAATACGGACCAACAGAGGTTATTTATAGCTGAAGACGGTTCGACCCAGCATAGAAAAGTAGGCGTCGACGCATCTGCTTCCACCTACGTCAGCAAAAATCTGTTCTGACACCGCCCACACGTTTATCTTCCGTCACCGCCATCCGTGCCAACTGCTTGTCACCCATATAATGCGCAACGACAGAGTGACACCACACATCTCTGCCATACTTATACATGGCAGTGATGCGGTTATCTTCCGTCACCCTCGCCACACTATACAGTACACAGCCAGCATTAGCGATATTAGAGCCTTGAGCGATATATACCACCTCACGCTCAGACCTCAGACCTTCCCCAGAGCGTTCTCACGGCTCGCCCCAGCGAACCCACGGTACTCGGGTCAGCGCCTGAGGCAGTCACGGCTCCCGTAGCCCCCGGATCGGCCGCGGTCCCTCCTTGGTAGATCGGTGGTCCACCCGCTTGCAGAAGTGTCGGGCCGGGGGCGGCGCCTCTGGCAGAGACGTGGGATCGTTCCCAGCCCGCCGAATCGCCTAGTAGTGAGACCCAGCAGTCAGCACTGATCCGACCTCAGCTGACGACACCCGGCTGAACGAAGGAAGCCGCGGGCAAGTGGGACGCGAAAAGCCGGTGACGACTGCACATGACACAACTGTGACCTAAGGGGACTTCAGAAGACTAACGACGACCGCCTTCTGTGGCTGCCGGCAGTACAGTCAATAACTGCAGCTTGTGATATCAGCACCCACATAAAACTCACATAGTATTGCCTTGGAAGTTATAACTTGCTGTGACTGAAACCCTTTAAATAATGCAGGTAACGACACTAGCAGCAGCCCATATGCCCTATCCCACCCCTCATGCATTCAGGGTTCGTTTCACTTAGAAAGGTCGTTCAAATTAACTCAGAAATCATTAAAATACAAATGACGCTCACCAAAACACAGTTCTGGCGTAAAAACACCCCACCTCCCGCATATTTGAAAGTCGGTTTAATTAATTTCCATAACATGAATCCATAACGCTCGTTAGACTGAGTCGATCAGCAGCGTTAGGCCAGTTCCACAGGTCGCGTGCATGAGAGGAACAGCGGGAGAGTAGGCGTGTGACTGTTTGTGCCGCCGCTGGACGGCGTCTTGCGTGCGCGCGTGCACTTTCAATCGGGGGCGCACGCGCTGGCCGGCCGCCGGCGTCTGAGCGGGGCCCACCTGGGCGTGTCTTCAGGGCCGGACGGAGCGCGTGCAACAACAGTGCTGATAAAAACACTCGGCGTCGAATCTCGACAGACAATCTGAGGCAGCGAGCGACTGGTAGCGGTTGGACGGACCGTCGCCGCCCACTCCTGCCGAGATGTCGGCAGTCGGACTGACAGTCGGCAAGCAGATCTCGTCAGGACCAGCGCTGAACGCTGGGCGTAAGCTAAGGAGCCGGCAATCGGGCTCCTAGACAGCGCTGTAACTAGGCTTGATCCTAGAAATTGCCAACATTTACACCTCTGCTTCTAATTGTATCACCTTTCTTATTCTAGCATTAACTAGCATACCTACCCTTCACAATCACATTTTCTACATCCCATACCATATCTGCGGAGAAATGACATGTCGTCTATTCTTGGACCAAACGGGAAATCCTCGATGACATGAAGGCGTCCCGATCCTCCCCTTTGCTCCACGGAGCAGCTCATCGACATGTCACGAGTTGTCTCCTGTCCGCCCCCTGCCAGCGCCCCCATCGATACCCTAGTAGCGAACCGGAGATCACCGGGCTGGGGCAGAAGGCACGCTCGATGCACCCAAAGGGGTGAGTCGGGCGCGACGCCAGCTAACGTCGGGGAGGTGGAGATAAAAATACAGTCGGTCTGTCAACAGGGAGCCCGAAATACATCCGTCAATGGGAGGGTGAAGACAGGGTAGGAGCTGTGGAGCGATAGAGCCGTTCTGAGTTGATCGAGTGTGACCTATCCAGACTATTGCAGACAAGTGGAATCTCCGGCCCTCTGATGTTGCCAGACAAAACACGGTCGGTGAAGCAATACATTGTTCTCCTGAATTGCAAATGCAATGCAAGCAATACATTGTGCTTCTGTGCTGCAAATGCCAACATCCGCAAGTCCTGTACCAATTTTTTTACACTAAAAAATACTGTATCAGCACAAAATATTACCGACGAAGCCCAAACCCTGACCGAACGGCGATTTGGGGAGCAGTGGTTCGGCAGCCCGCGCACCTTCACAGCAGGGGGCGCAGGGTCCCTCCCGTCGGCAGGTTAGGTGCTTCAGCCCGTCCCGACCTTGAGAGCGACCCACCCTTTTACCACCGGCACATAGCTCAACCCAGACAGGGTCCGGCCTGAGGTTCTCACACTGACCACTTTCGGAGGCTTCCATTTCACACTGCGAGGGTCCCGCTCCCCTCCCCAGGTCTCCCGCACCGCATCACCATCAGAACGGGTTCCTATTCGCCTCACAAAGCGTTTCTCCAGCGGCGCTGATCACCGGGCCGACGTGCGATTAGGCTCCCGCTATGTCTTCCTCCACTGCGGACAAAACCGGCCAACAACTAAACCCGGCACTAATCACCCGGGAATGCTGCGTGGCCAAACGAGCCACGACTGACTGCACGACCACCGCTGCGCATCAATGAACATCGTCATTAGAGCTCACCAAAGCCAACGCCACTAATTTCTCGAGTTCGGGTCGAGTCTCAATCGGCGCCGGTTTATGCGGGAGCGGAAAAGTTGAGCGATCAATCCATCGGCCTAATCTCGAGTAGCCGAGCCGGTAGCCGGCTGGCTGGGCAGCTCATTAATCAGTCAGCGCGTGGAGCTCCGTGGACGAGAGCCAAGCCAAACGGAGGGGCCGGGGGCGGGGACGGATCACTGCCGCTTGCCGGCGCTCCCAGCTCCGCTCGCAGGCCGTGGCAGCTAGCTCGGTTCATGAGCCATCAGTGGGTATTTAGGGAACACTTGGTTGTTTACTTTCGGCCACAAAATCTCAAAATATCAGTGTGGTCCGTACAGTGCACGTTATGTAACCATTCACCTTGTCGGCCTCCTTTGTTTTGATCCCCTTATCTTCACAGAAAACGGCAAAAAAAAAAAACATGAACAAAAGGAACCTTGATTGTGAGGGAATATATTTCTATCAACACGTGCAGATCTCAGCCTCTGTCACATTAACGAATCTCACATCTAAACCCATGAGTCATTACGTCCTCAGCGACCACACGCGCCTCCTCCCTGTCGGCACGCGTGGATACAGGACGGCTCGACAGTCGACACTGTAACTACCCGCCCGTCACACGGCCACCCTGCAGACAAACCCGGCACTCGCCCGACCGGCAGCAGCGCAGGCACCGTCCGCAAAAACTGGACCTGGCAGCGCGCCGGTCTGCCAGGCGGGAGGCGCTCGGACGAGCTGTGAACCAGCGAACGACCGGCCGACAGCGGACGAGCGGTCGGTCGAGCGGGCGGACGGATGGACGCGTGGCGCACCGCACGTCCCCGTCAGGACGGACAGGCGGCGCGGCGGCGCGCCGGTCCATGACGTCAGCAGCGGGCCGTTCAACCCCCGGCGGCGGCGGCGGAGCGCGCCTTTGTTTACGCCGGCTGCCGTCCGCCCACGGTCTTCGGACCGATCGGGGCTCGCTCCAGGGTTACGGAATCCTTGGGGCCCGGCAATCGGCATGGTATATCTGAGACAGAGCTGAGAGCAGAGCTAGTGAGAATCTCTCACAAAGGGACAGCGACAGACCTTGAAGTCCAGAGCTAATCCATTCAATATCAAAACAACTGTTCCACTAGCTCGTATTCGTGGCTGGCACGAGTTCTAAGGCCGCTAATGACTGAAACTGTCCTTGTCACTAGCGATCCGCTCCAATCTCCGTCAGTCCCTCTAGACACGATAGTGAACGAGCACCATCCTCACAGTCTCCTCGATGACAGCTTAACCCGCGCCCTGCTGGGGGGGGTGTTTGAACACCCCCCCCCCTGTGGTTTTTCGCGAATATCTCAAAAACGGCGGCGCGGAGCGCCGCCGTTTTTGGTACACCTTATCATACATCAATTCTACACATGTTGTGAAAATTTCAGACCAAGGTCATTCAAGGTCAGGTCACCAGGTCACTCGAAGTGACCTCACCTCATAAAAAGTTTCAATGTCTGTCATAGCTACACCGAGTGACCGATCGCTTTGAAACTTTCAGCGATTGCTAAGAGCATTAGCATGTACAAAATGTATATCTCAGAATTTTGATATCGATGACCTAAGGTCAGGTCAATTTTGCGACCTCACCATTATAAGTCAATGGGAGAAAATTGAAATGCGCCTGTTTTGGACGAAAGACATTATAAACACTCCCAAACACTGAATTACAAGTGGTTTAGACACACTGAACATGAAAATGGTGTCTGTGACCCCTGTTTATGCCCTGAGGTCATCTTAGGTCACGAATGGTATCTAACAGTTTTTCGCAAATAACTTTTGATAGAGGCATGCTAGAGCGATGAAAACGCCTTAGATGTGTTCAGCTCGACGATACGGATCGACTGATATGCAACATGACCCTTTCCGGTCAGGTCATGACCTTGACCTGAGGTCAAATTTTCAAGTTGACCTTTCAAGGTCAAATTATAGTTCGTTCGATGCGTCTTGACGAGAGGAACACGATGCCGGTAAAAGTAAGCTCGTACAATGCTTGGGTCAAAAGTTATTGCAGAAAAACTGTTTCCGAAAAAATCGGCTATTTTTGCAGTTTTTGCCCCCTGCAGGCAATACCGTTGACGTTAGGTCAAATCTGAGAAAATTACCCAGAAAGGGCGTTAATAGGGCTATGGAATGCGCTTTTCCGCGGCGCTGTAGCTCTATTGGTTCCCGAGTTATGCGTTGGCTTGTTGGAAATTTTCGACATTCGACCTGGAAATCGGCGAAAATTTGCCTTCAATGACCTCTGGTGACCTGACCTTTGACCTGACCAAAAAATTGACCGAAGTGATTTCCTCATTATTTTTGACGCTCTTTCGAACGCCGCCTTCCGCGTATCGCTACGTGGCCCAGGAGCCGAGTTAGAAGGGGGGGTGTTCAAACACCCCCCCCCCCCAGCAGGGCGTGGAAATCCAGGACCCCCAGCCGGGCGCGGGTTAATCAGCACCCGCCACCGGCATCAGCAACTCTCTCGCTCGCCGTCGGCCGACGACCGGCACTCTCCAGCGGGTCGGTCACGGTCGCCCACTCGGTCACCGCCACTGGACAGGCGGTGGGAGCAGACCCGGACAGCGGGTACGCATCAGGCCGTGTCACCAGCTAACTACCGGTAAAGGACGAGCCATGGTCGCACGGACCCAACAGCAGACTGGAGAGGCGACTATGCCACCACGCTAACAGCATAATGCGTACTTGCATAGAGTTCATTGATGAAGCAAGGTTTCCCCCACAGTTCTTATCAATCGTCACGAACCCCCATGCGAACGGAGAGTTCTGTAAAGCCCCGGTGCAGCGGTTCTAGCCCACCCACCCACTAGCACCAACAAAGGATCGTAAATGACTCACCCACCAGCCCGCACAACCGCGCGCGGTGGCTGACACCATCCTGCGGTGAACGCCCCCTACGTCACAGCCCCCCCTCTCAGTTCACACTTCACACCCACTGGGTCACATCCGTATTAACACTGCAGCCATAACGGATCGGGACAGTCACCCGCGCAGACAAACGCACAAGCCGAATCCCGATCCATCAGCTCTAAAGGCGGACCAGTTTTTGCTCGAGGCACTGACGGCCGTCAGGCAGCCTGAGGTGCTTTCCCACGAACGCCACTAGATGGCACTGGCAGGAGAGGGCAGATGTTCTTACCTGACTGACCAGGCAGGTACGGCGCGAGCAGCTTACTCCGCTTCTTCTCATAGCCCTTCTGTGTGATATCACCTGAAACGAGGAACACAGCCGTCAGCAACACACGTCTAAATCCATCGTGGAACACGTGTCTAAATTTGTCACCGTGCTGGCGACAGCGGCGAGGCGCTCACAACGAGACAAATCACCCCATTTGGCGACACGACGCTCGTAACGAGATAGGCAGGATTTGGAGCTGTAATTGGGGCTCACCAGCCGACTGGAGCTGCTGTTTTTGCACGCGACGAGTGGTACCTGCGACCGAACAGCATCGGCGAGAATGAGATACGCCAGGGCGCGCATGACGCGCTCGGCTCACCAAACAAGGACGTTTTGACTGAGCCGTTACTAATTCGGGCCGAGCGTGTATGCTAATTCCGGTCGGCCTTGCCTTGTGGCGCCGCCGAGCTGCTTTCCATGCGTGTGTCGTCCGCGTCCAATGGTCTCGTCTGTCACGGCCTGTCGCGTCGGGTCCCGGCACTCGGCCTAGCAAACCTCCCTCGGTCCTGACCTGACGACGCCCGCTCTCTCTACCGAAGTCAGCGTCCTTCACCTCAGCCGCTCCCTTCATCTGCCATTATCTATTCTTTGTCCCTTCTCTAACGTTTATCCCATTCTCTGTCCTCTCAAAATCACCGCTCCCGTTCTCTATCCTTCTCTATCTATCCGTCCTGTCTTCTTACCTCCTCCGTAGCCTCTCATGTCATGCCCTTGTCCTCTACCCAAACTCCCCTCCCGTAGCACCAACCAGTTCCGTCACAATTCACTCTGGCACTTCCGGCTCCCCTGCTCTCTCCCTCTCTTTCTCTCCCCTTCCCTCTGTGCCGACACCTCCGCTCCTCTTCCCGACACCTGAGCTCCCTCCACCCACCCACCTTCGGCACCATCTCGCCTGTGTCGGGTCACGCCGCGTCAGCTACAGCAGACAGATGGCCCTCCACTGGAGACCATCCCGCGTACCGCATCACCCTCATGACCTGGCTCAGTGGCGCCTTTCAGATACTCGCCTCGGACGCCTCCTCAATGGAACCTCTCTGTTACGGCCAGACATGCCGCTTATTGTCGTCTCCATCACTGTCAGGAGACGCTCATCGAGAACCACCTCTTCATGAGACGACTCTGAGGCTCTTGCTTCTTTGAGCTCTTCCCAAGGAACCTGGGAGGACTCTAGTAGAGACGGGGATAGGAAACAGCAGAACCATATGGGATACTAGCAAACACCATCAGACTGTGTGAGTCCCCAGGGCACGGAACTCAACACGGGTGAGGCTGAGGGAGGAGAAATCGAGCCAGCAATGATGTAGCTGAAGACGAGATAAACCGTGAATTTAAGAGCGGTATTGAGGCTCCAGATTCCTAATTTACTTAGCAGTAAAAGTTATGTAAGCTGATAGCTCGTACTGCCCAGAGTTCAAGCAGTAACAACTAACAATCCAGCTATTATCCAGCTTGTAGAGCTGGCCAGTGGACAATGGACCTCTTTGACAGCGTCCGGAAGTCTAAGTGCCATATCACTCCCAGTCGTAGCTTTCAGCAGAACTTACCAACAACAACTAGTATGAACAGGAAGCGCTCAGTCAGAATGCACTTCCCCGGACATGTCGCGATTCTAGGCATCCGGTGAAGCACGTCAGTCATACGCTTTTCCAGTCCCCGCCCACACTGACACGTCTACGCTCTAGCTCAAGATACCCGCGAAGCGCAACGCTTTTCGTCCGTTACAACGCAGTTTTGCATTTTGCAACACGTGTTTTCAAATGTCGATCTATTCGGTCATTTCATGAGCATCAGCACATCTTTTGAATGCAATGAAATCAACAAGCAAAAGGCGCCCATCGTCAACCGTCTAGCCGGTCATGCTGAGTACCACCCGCACAGCTTCCCCCAACCAATTCCCAGCCTCGGGTACGGTTGTCGTCACCAGCACTAACCGCGCCCTGCCCGGCGGGCCATCGCAGTGGGTCCCACTCTGGCTCAATCTGGCCCTGTTAGCGCCCACAGCGGGGCGGAAGAGCGCCTCGTCCCGGCCCGTTCAGCTCCATCGGCTGTACCCAGGGCCGCTGCACTGGGCAGAGCAACGACACAGCGGGAACGGGGACGAGCAACGAGACAGGAGACAGCGAGATCGTGCGACAAGACAGCTGAGAGTGCGGGGATGGGAAGTCGAGATCTTCATGTTGTAAATAAGAGACTGGCTAGAATGAAGAAAAGGGAATTAATGGTATGCAAAATTTGAAGTAAATACGCAGCCAGCAAGTTTGAAGCACAGACGTCGGTAACTGATACAATACAAGTCCCTGCACCAGAAAGACATGTTCACACCAGGCTTCTACCAACGACTTGTATTGATCCAGAGAGGCAGCACCAGTCGATTCCGCCTCTCCCGGATCACAGAGGACATCTCCTGCGCTCCGCGGGTCGGCCATCCGACCATCTGGTACGGCACATCGACCGACCCCGTCTGACCCGAGACCTGACCTGCTGACCTCTGACCGCCACATATGGACACGCCAGAGATCACCGCCCGTTACGACTCGGTGTCTGGAGACACGCTGACGGGGCAGTGAGCAAAAAGTAAACGGCGGGCCGAAGGTAGATTGCTGAGTCAGGACGCGACGAATTGAGCTAACAGTGCGAATGCTGGGAACGTTTGGCAAACTTGCTCGTGAAGTAGGAGCCAATGATGGTCTTCAAAGGAGTTTTGCCGGTCATGGTGAATGAATTATTCAGGACTTCAGAAACCCCTGAATACAAATTTATGATATCTATGTTGGCACATCTAGGACGAGCAAATATTTCATTCGTACAGGCGTTCGCGATTTATTTGTGATTTTTTCATGCATCATCATCATCATCACGTTTATTAAGAAACAAAAGAATACACAAAATCAAGATAAGTAAGAACTGGTGCAAAAGCACTCGAAAGTGCTTAGTTCGCATCTTATTGCGAATTTATATATATAATTATATATTATATATATAATTGCATCTTATCTATGAGCCGAGCATTCTTTTCAGCAACGCACAGAATCTTGAATTCCGTTACACATCGCAACAGCAACAGACTACGCGGCAGCGCGCCACTCCTCTATCGTCCCACCATCTTCCACACCATTTCCGCATTGGAAATCCCAAAGGAACCCCGACGCGGCGCAACTTCGGCGAACCAAACACTACCAATCTCCGGCCGTCGCCGTATCTCCGCTCGCCGTTCACCTTCCGCGCTCCCGTCGGCGAGGGCGGGGGCGGGGGCGGGGGTGGTGGAACGTTCGACCCGGTCCACTAAACCGTTCGTCTCGCGCTGGCCAACTCCCTGGGGATGCACAGACCCGGTAGTGCGTGCGTGGCCTGCCAGTCAGCGATGCCCCGCCGGAGGCAGGCCGGCCAGCTGCCAAATATTTACAGCGAGTGGCGAGGGTGTTCCGTCCGTCCCGGGACGACAGCGGACGCCCGACCTCCGCGAGCGTCGCGCAGCAACACAAACACAGTCTGATGTGGCGCGTCGCGGCGCACTGCGGTGTGCCACGCGGGCGACAGCGCGTCAGAGCCCCACCGCAGACGTAGAGTCGCGTCAGCCCGCGGTGAGCCACGCCAGCTGTGTGTATGTGTGTACGCGTAAGCGTCTGTCTTGGTTGGCAACGCGGAGCGGCAACGGTAGGGAGGGTGATCTGTCACAGCGCAGGACAGGGTATGGTGAAAGGGGCTCAGTTCAGCCAAGCAAAACCACTATCAGTTGGTCGGACATCAGTTCCGACAGAAAAGCTTCGGGAAATGAACAGTACAAGGCTATCTATTCGAAGCCATGTCATGGGATGACATCACCAGTTACCGAACACATAGACGGCTGCAGAAACTCTTAAATCCGTGCAACGAAAAGAACAAACACGGTAATCCTTGACACCCAACATACTCAACAGGCACTTCAGGGCTAGCGATGGGCGACTTTGTGAAAAGCTTTCATAGCACGAAAAGAAAAGACACTCGCCACAGGCGAGCAGCTTTCGTCCATTCTTCAACACCGTAAGACAACACCAAGACGAGCCGCGTCGCCCGGGGACAAACCTCATCGTCAGGCGGCAGGCATCCCATCTCGGGCAGTGAAAGCGGTCAGCCAACACGACCCGCCTGCTATCAATGACATCTGAGCCCACGCAGAAGCTGCGCACACCGCCCGCACGTGCGCGAAGTGCGTGCCGCGCGTACGCAAAGCGCGCCTGACATACGCCGAGCGTTCTTCGCGAGCATGCCTCCCCACCCCCACGCTCCAAAGTATCTAGTGCACAGGTGAAGATCTTCACACTTCCTGTAAAAAAGCTGGCGCTATGCTCAAATCACGGCGCATGATGTCGTCAAGGCAGTTAGCTATCGGTCAACTCGACAGACATTTGACCAACGCCCTACACCTGTCTCTTCTTTAACGATCCCACATGCAGTAGCCAGCGCCTTGTCAGTCGATAGCATTACCAGAAGTCTGTCGGGTATCGCTGACGAACAAATGATCACCACGTCAAATAGCGCAAACACTCCCTCTGCAGTGCGTCTCACTTCGGGCTCGATCCCGGCCAGCTTCAGCTCGATGTCAGACATTGATACGCCTCAGCACCTCTCTGAACGTTCTCCTCCCAACCATCCGCGAAGCTGTCTGACCCCGATCGGACCGTTGAACGCCGAAACACCCGCTGCGCGAACTCGGCCACTGCACGGGCACCAATGGTACGACCATCAGGCTCCTCGTAATCCGCCGGCTATGGCGGCTTAGTGCCAATAATGTCCAGGGCCTGTCAGAAGCAAAGGTTGCGAATGAACGATCGATTAATGCCAAACGGCGCCCTGATGCAGATTTACAATCCTTACAGCGGTACCAGACACCAGCGGTCCTTACCGGGTCCTGCTGTCCATTCAAGCCTCCAACAGCGAGCCGACCGGCCGATCGTCAATGGGCAGTTCAGTTTCAAAGAAGGGAAAGGCCATCATTGTGCCCGAGCATTTACCATCACCCATAAGCAGTCATAATTCCTCTTCCATTCACATCG